TGCACCCCCGCGGGAGGGCTCGTCACAGGTACAGCCCTGCCCTGCCCTGGGGACCCTGGGTGCCAAGGACCCCTGGGTGTGGGGTACCCCTGGGTGTTGGGACCCCTGGGTGCCAGGATCCCTAGGTGTTGGGGATCCTTGGCTGTCATGTACCCCTGAGTGTCAGGTACCCCTGGCTGTGGGGTACCCCTGGCTGTCAGGTGCCCGTGGCTTAGGGTCCCTCTCCTGCAGGTGCCCTGGTCCTGCTGTCCCTGGCATACCTCACCTCTCTCTTCTATTACATCCCCAAAGCAGCGCTGGCTGCTGTCATCATCTCGGCCGTGGTGCCCATGTTCGACGCTGGCATCTTCCGGACGCTCTGGCGGGTTAAGAGTGAGGGCATCGGTGGGGAATGGGCAATCCCCCGGTCCAGCCATCCAGGAGCCACTCTGGCAGTCACACCTGCCCCCCTGAGCTGGGACTGAGGCCCCTTCTCAGCTCCCCCTGCCCCACTCACACAGCCCAGGTCTCCTCTCCAGCTCTACCCCAGGTTTCCCATAGCGGAGTCTCAGACATCCAGATCCTTAAAATCAGTTAATCACGGTGCCATAACTAAATAACAGAATGACAGCTCCAGTTGAGTGTTTCTGGGAGCCAGAATGAAGGAGCCTGTGAGCTTTTATCCTCTCACAGACATACAAAGTCTGGGGATGGTCTCTGAGTGTCCCAATCAGGGTCTCAGTGTCCCATCACTTTCTCTTTAGTGCCCATCATGTGGCTGCCCAGGGTTCCTGGGTCCTTTGTCATGCAAAGGGGACAGTTCACGGCCCCTCCCAAGGGCTCCCACCCAGAGCTCCACCTGCACGGAGTGGATTCCTCAAGACCCGGGTGCAGCCAGGTTGTGCCAGCAGAGCTGGCACTGCCACCGAGTGCCCTGTGGCACCAGGACCAGCCACAGCTGAGCCTGGCTTCTCTCTCTTGCAGGGCTGGACCTTGTGCCCCTCTGCGTGACGTTCCTGCTCTGCTTCTGGGAGGTGCAGTATGGAATCGTGGCTGGGGTGCTGGTTTCTGGGGTTCTCCTGCTCTACTCCATTGCCAGGCCCCCAATAAAGGTGAGCTTCTCCCCTGCCCTTGTATTGGTGTTCCCAGCTTTACTGAGATGGAGTAACTGAGAGGCATTTTAAAGGATTTATTCCATTATCATCCTCGATGAAGGGTGAGACATAAGAGATGGAAAACTCAATGCCATTCCATTAGAAGCCGACCCATTTCCTGATTACAATACATTATAAATGTCCTCCAGCCTATTAGCTTTTGCCACACAATGCTGCTATTACTTCTAACACCAATCAGTTATATTTTTACCCCACGTAATGCTACAGTGCATCTTTCACAGTTCTAATTCTCTAAAATATCTGGTCTTTTTGCAAGGCCATCGTTTGAAACTGGTTGAAACTTGTTTCCAGTTCAATCTCTCTCTCAACAATGTCATCTCTATTCCATGGCCTTCCTAAGCCAGCACACCTTATCTCAGAGTTTGCACTCACTTGTACAAGACTGTGTGAGCTTTCTGTCAGGTTTTGAGAATTCCTTACAAATCCATTTCTCACACCCTTGGATGTGGCAGGGCCAGGGAGCTGGGAGGGGGCTCCTGAGAGCAGGGACGTGCTGGGGTGCAGGATGCTCCTGACCTGTTCTTGCTGTCCCCAGTCTACCACGGGCACAGCACAGGGACCCCTTTCAAAGAGCAGGAGGAAGGGAATATCCTCAGACTGGAGAGCAGGACAGGGAGGCATCACTGCCCTGCCTTGCTGACACTGGGCTGTGTGCAGGAGGGTTTCCCTGAGGGATGGGGCCTCCTGCTCCTCCCAATCCATCCAGGAGGGCAGGGATAGCACGGGCAGTTGTCCCTGCCTGGGAATGTCACAGCCCTGAGCTCCTGTGGCTGTCCCTGCCTGGGGAGGTCACATCCCCTGAGCTCCTGTGGCTGTCCCTGCCTGGGAATGTCACAGCCCTGAGCTCCTGTGTCTGTCCCTGCCTGGGGAGGTCACAGCCCTGAGCTCCTGTGGCTCTGTCCCTCCACAGGTGTCAGAGGGGTCCGTGCTGCTGGTGCAGCTGGGGAGCAGCCTGCACTTCCCAGCTGTGGAGCACCTGAGGGACATGGTGTGCAGCCGTGCTCTGGCAGGTACAGTGCTCCTGGGCTGTACTGGGGACACGGCTGTCACCGCCTCCATCACTCTGCTGTGGGTGGCAGGTGCTGCCAGGCCCAGGGACTGCAGGTGTCAGCAGTGACAGCACAGCTGTGCCACCCTGCCAGCCCTGCCCTGGCTCTGAGGGCTGTGACCCCTGGGCTGCTCATTTCTGGACTTGTTGGGACATGCCCTTATGCTCTTCCAGCAGCATCTCCACCAGGCTCTGTGGTGCTGGACTGCAGCCACGTCAGCAGCATCGATTACACGGCAGTGCTGGGGCTGGCAGAGCTGCTGCAGGAGCTGCACAGGCATGGCCTCTCGCTGGCCTTCTGTGGCCTGCAGGTGTGTGGGACCTTGGCCATGCCACCCTGGCACTGGGAAGGGTGTGGGTGTGGCTGATGGGCTCAGCCTAGCTGCCCTCCCGGGCTCTGTGCTGGCCTCTCCTCAGGTGGCACCATCACCATCACGAGCACCTTCATCTCACAGGGCTGGGGGTGCTGGGATGGCTGGGGGCTCTGCCCTGGGGATTGGGGAGTGGCCAGCAATCCCCCAGCCCAGGTTTCTCTGCCCTCAGGACCCCGTTCTCCAAGTGCTCCTGTCTGCAGACTTGGAAGGATTCCAGCATTTCCCCAGCTGGGAGGAGGCAGGTGAGGCTCTGGGCTGCTCTCCCAGCACGGGGTGAGTGTGGCTCTGGAGGATACTGTGGGGATCTGACCTGTCCAGCTGCAGAGCAGCAGTGTGGGGCTGCAGGGGCTCCTGGGAGGGTGAGCTGGAGCCCCTCCCAAGAATTGGGTCTCCCCAGCCTTGGGGATTCGTCGTGAGCTCTGGTGGTGCAACCCAGCAGCAGCTCAGCACCACAGAGCCCTTCACTCCCCCTGCAGAGGGGTGGGACAGAAGCAGAGAAAAGAGAAAACTCTTGGTTTGATGAAGGCAATTTAGTAGGACAAAAAAGAAAATGAAAATTACAATAACCATAAAGGAATATCCAAAGCCAGTGATGCACAGAGTGCTTGCTCACCACCCTCTGAGCCATGCCCAGCCAGCCCCTGAGCAGTGACCCTCACCCCTCGGCCAAATCCCCCCAGTGCTTCCTTCAGCACCATGCCCTGTGCTCTGCAACATCCCTCTGGGCACTGGGGCAGCTCTCCTGGCTCTGCCCCCTCCCAGCTCCTCGCTGCCTGGGCAGCCTGGGACCTGAGAAGTCCTTGGCTTAGTGTAAGCATTGCTCAGCAGCAGCTGAACCACCAGGCTGTTATCAACAGGAGCCTCATCCTGAATCCAAACACAGCTCTGAACCAGCTCCTGGGAAGAAAATTCCCTCTGTCCCAGGCAGAGCCAGGACATGAGCCTTGCCTTGACTCTGCTTCCCCCCTCCTGTCCCAGAGCGGTACAGGGCACTGGAGCTGGGGGGCAGCAGGGCAGAGCCCCTCACCAGCACTGCTGAGAGCACCGGGCTCATCCAGTGAGACCAGTTTGGGCTGAACGTCCTCCAGTGACACCAGCACCCTCCCTGGGAGCCAGCTGCCTCATCCTGGGCACGGGGATGGACTGTCCCCATGTCCCACAGTGAGATGGACAGAGCAGCACCAGCCCAGCCCCACATGGGCTGTGGGACATACCTGTTCCTTGTCACAGTGACCAGTGCAAAGCCATCCTTCCTCCAGGGAGCTGCTGACATTTTTTAAACGACTGTTTTAATTCTGGACCTTTTTCATGTTCTGGGCCGCTCCAGTGGTGACACAGGGTGAGCTCTCAAAGCTGTTTCAGGGCTGCTGTTCTGCCCTCCAAGTGGACACGGGGGCTCAGCCTCCAGCTCTGGGAGAGGGAAAACGTCTGGGATTGTGCTCCTTACTGATTTTTATCCTTACCTTTTTTATCCTTGTCTGTGGGGTGTTGTGCCAAACACTGCCCTGGGTCAGGGCTGGGCTGTCACCCTGGGCCCTGCCGAGGGGACAGGCAAGGTGACACCAGGCTGTGTGATGGGGACAGCACCTGGTGGGGCTGGACAGGATCAGGAATTCAGTTCCCTGAACGGCCCTCAGCTGACAGCGACGGTGTAATAAATCAGAAACTGCTAATGAGTCAGTGTGATCTCTGCCTTCCGGAGGGAAAGCTTTTTCCTTTTGTGTGGGAAGGGGAGTTATCTTCTGGGTGCTGCTGAGCGTGCCGGGGAAGAGAAACCGAAAACAATCTGGGGCAGCGCGGGTGAGCGGAGCCCGAGGGCACGTCCTGCACAGCTCCTGCTGCCGGAGGTGCTGGAAGGGCGGCACGGGTTCCCGGGAGCCACACACCTGCCCAGGAATCATACACCTGCCCAGGAATCACACACCTGCCCAGGAATCACACACCTGCCCAGGAATCACTCACCTGCCGGGGCTCCGGTCCTGCCCTGCAGTGCACTGAGCTGTGAGTTCCTTGCTGCACCATGGGGGTGCCGGGAGGGGGAAAACGGGGCCATGGGGGTAAAACGGGCTGGTTGTTTAGGAATGTGTGTGCGCTCAAACCTGTGTGAGCACTGCTGGAGGGCAGGGCTGCTGCGAGCCCGTCTTCGGCTCGCTCCTGGTGGGCTCCGGGATGGGGCACCAGCCGTAACCCCACTTTTGACTGCGGAACCCGCTTTTGGTTGTCGGGAGCAGCACAAAGTGCTCTCCGCCACACCTGCCCTCACTGCTGCTGCAGGACTCCTGCACCGGGCTGGTGGGTGGGGGATGCTCGGGGGGTACCGGGGGGGCACCCCGGCCGGGCTGGCGCGGCCAGACGGGGCGGGACCCGCCGAGAGCCGCCCGGGGCCGGGATTGGCCGGGGCGGGCCGGGGCTGGGCGGGGACCGCGACTGCGAAAACGAAAGTTGGCGGCTCGGCGGAGAAACGAAACTTGTCCGGGCGGGACTCGGCGGGAAGAGCGGGCGCTGCAGGTGCAGGTGCCCGGTCACTCGGTGAGTCGCGCTGCCGGGGCGGCGAGTGGCGGCACGGGGCGCCGGGCCTGGGGGGATCCGGTGCGGGCGGCGCGGGGCTGGGGCAGCCGCGGCTCCGGGTCCCGCTGTACCCTCCCGGTGCCCCCGAAGCGCCTCGATTTCCCCGGTGTATCCTGATCCCCGGTCTGCCCGTAGCCCTCCGGTGCGTCCCCGGGGACTCCCATCTCCTCCCTGTTCACCCGGGACGCTCCTATGCCGTGTCCCCCCCCACCCCGGTTTTCCCCGGTTCTTCCCCCTGTGTCGTTCCCCCCGGTTCCCGGTTCTCCCCGTGTCCCCCCCACTGGGCCCCCCCGGCGCCCCCCGGGAGCCGCGCTAGCCCCGCCCCTCACACACATAACTGGCTCATTTGCATACGACCGCTCCTTCGCCACGCCATTGGCCCATCCACCCTGCTCGTTAGCATATCTCCCGAGGGGGCGGAGAGGCGCCAGTCCGCGGGGAGCGCGAGCGTCGTCGTTTGCATACAGGCCCCGCCCACGGGGCAGGCCCCGCCCAGGCGGGGTCGGGCCGGGCAGCGACCCTCAGCCATGGCCCGGCCCCGCCGCTGGAACACGGCTCCCGGCCGCGGCCCAGCCCGGCGGAGCGCCCCGGGCAAGGCTCCGGGAAGGGGAGCCAGGCCCTCGGTGGGAGCACGGGGCCTGAAGGCGGGGGCGCGCTCGCTGTTTGTGTTTGTTTGCCTTTAAGCGCTGTGGTTCCCCTCACGCTCCCAGCCCGGCTCTGCAGTGTCGCAGGGCGCTTCCTGACAATAAAACGGGCAGAGGAGGAGGTGACACGGCTGTGCCGCTGTTTGTGTCTCTGCCCCGGCCCTGTCTGTCCCCGTTGGCTGCCGGGCAGGGCCTGCCCGGTCCCTCAGCGGCTGTGGGGCCGTGCTGGGCCCCGGGACCCGGCCGGGCCGGGCTGCGCACTGACCGCAGGCTGCCTGTGTCACCTCTGGTGCCCGTGTGGCTCTGGGCTCTGCTCTGCCCAGCTCATTCTGCTCTGCTCCTATCCCAAACTCCCCTCCCAGTCTCTACCTCAACCTCCCCTGGTGTTCCTGACCAGACAGTTTTCTTTGCTTGGCAGTGGCTGTCAGCAGACAGACAAGTGATTCAGTTGGTGACACATCCTACACAGTCTCCACACTCAGGCCTTCAGTGTTGAACTAGTTTATTTTACCAATGAAGTAGTGCTGGTTTCTATGTTAAAAGACTGGTTGAGTCCTTGACACAGAATTTCCGATTTGTAGCTTGTTGTTAGATTTAGAGCTTACCCCTGAGTTGTGTTTGACAACACACTAATTTTGCCTTGCTGAACAGAGACAGAATCAAGTGCTCAACACGGTTCTGTTGGGGGAAATGTTTCCTAATCCTTTACTTGTTTAAGACCAAATGACCTGGGCCACCAGAATGGCTTTTGGTTTGTTGACAGAGAGAATGTGATGCTAGAAAAGCACACTAAATCGGAATCGAGCTGCTGGAGTCCCCCCAGGGTCAGTTCTTAGCAAACCCCCCTGCACTCCAGCATGGCAGGGTAACAAATCTGGGATCTCCAGCTCTGGAATACTGTAGGAAGAGCATCCAAAGTAGCTGAGGTTCAAAGCTTTTGCTCTCGGAACTGGGGTGGAGGCAGTGTGGAGGAGCCTGTGAAACCCCTGCAGAAGGCAGAGATTTGCTCTGCTGCCTGACTGGACCCAGAGCTACCCTTCCATATGTTTTTGAAGGACTGGATAAAGCTGTGACGATAAAAGGTCACAGCAGGCTGTGCCAGCTGGGAGGTGCCGCTGTCCTGTCACTGCTCACGCTGGGCTCCAGGCACTGGCACAGGCAGCTGCTGCCAGCACTGCTGCTGCATTTGTGTCTGCAGCAGGGACAGGGATGGAGCTCTACACCAGTGCTGGGGTTCCTTAATTATTCTGTATCTGGCAGGGCCTTAGAGAGGGCAGGAGGCTGTAAGGGAGAGCGGTGGCATGGCTGGTGGGAGCTGTACAGGGATCAACAAACAGCTCCTGTGTGTTCATGACTTTGGCTGGGACACTTTGTTGTTCCCAGGAGCTGGTTCAGAGCTGTGTTTGGGTTCAGGATGAGGCTCCTGTTGATAACAGCCTGGTGGTTCAGCTGCTGCTGAGCAATGCTTACACTAAGCCAAGGACTTCTCAGGTCCCAGGCTGCCCAGGCAGCGAGGAGCTGGGAGGGGGCAGAGCCAGGAGAGCTGCCCCAGTGCCCAGAGGGATGTTGCAGAGCACAGGGCATGGTGCTGAAGGAAGCACTGGGGGGATTTGGCCGAGGGGTGAGGGTCACTGCTCAGGGGCTGGCTGGGCATGGCTCAGAGGGTGGTGAGCAAGCACTCTGTGCATCACTGGCTTTGGATATTTATGGTTATTGTCATTTTCATTTTCTTTTTTGTCCTATTTAACTGTGTTTATCTGAACCCACAAGTTTTGCCTTTTTTTCTGATTCTCTTCCCCCATCCAGGGACTTGGAGCAACCTGGTCCAGTGCAAGGTGCAGGGGTGGGACAAGATGAGCTTTAATGTCCCTCCCAACCCAAACCATCCTGCAACCCCACTGGGGGGGTGAGTTTCCAGTTTAACAATTAATTTCCCTCCATTGCAGAGAGAAGAGAAGTGCAGGTCCCTCCAGTCCCTGATGCAGAGGAAGAGGTGAAGGGAGAAGGTACTGCTGGGCCTCCTTCCACCAAAACCACCTGAAACAAAGGAGACAGAGGGCGAGGCACTGATGGACACAGCAAGAGCCCTGCCCAACACCACACCTGACACTGCTGGTGGATCTCCCAGCTCTGCTGAGACACAGAAGGAGGAAGAGGGATCCTCGCTGCTGGAGGATGTCACAGCTACAGGGAACCATGCAGAGCCCTCGGCTCAGCGCGGGGCTGGTGACTCTGCTGAGGTGGCTTCTCCACTGAGGAAGGTGAGGATCCTGCTGGGGAGCAGCTGTGACTTGTTGCTCTCTTGTGTGAAGTGTGGAGGCCGGGCTGCATCCCCCACATCCCTTTGGTCACGTCGGGGAGCTGCTGCCTGGCTTCCTCCAGAAGCTTGCTGTGTTTGCTGATGCTGTGTTGTGCGTGCAGTGCTGGGGGAAACCACAAATTACATGAGTCATCTTAGACACTGCAGCGCTGCTCTGTGCTCCTGCTGAGTAAGTCTTTCTCAAGAGTTATTTGCATTTCACTGGCTGGTCTTGTCCCTCCTCTTCCTGATCATTCTCTGTTAGCCCCCGTGTAGCAGGAAGATGTCGGCACTTGCTGCAGTGGTGGAGGTGACAAAGAGTTTCCCTTTGGCAATGAATAAACAGACATTGTGGTCTTTGTTTTTCTTTTTTTAATAGAAAAGGAAGAAGACTAAAGAAAATAAGTCCATCTCTGGGGAAGAGGACTCTCTGCCTACTCAAAGCACAGCACCAGTTCAAACCACAGAGTTGCCTGACACAGGTGTTACTCCTCAAGAAATCCAATCCCCTGGAGGTGAGGGAGCAAGCCCAGGTGCTGATGGACATGCTGATGCCAGTGGAGACACACCTGGAGGTGACAGGGATTTGGCACACCTGGGGAAGGAAGCTGGCAGCCTGGAGGCTGAAGAGAGGCTGAGTCCTGCAGAGCAGAGCAGCACAGTCAGGGCGGCTGCCCCAGCTCCCAGCACTGCAGCCCCTGGGGAAAAGGCGGGGGATGGAGCAACCCCAGAACACGGAGGAACAGCCAGAGGTGATGTGGAACGGGACAGTGGTGCCCCTGGCCAGCTGCCAGCAGCCACAGCAGGTTCTCAGACCCGGGGCAGCAGCAAGGAGCGGCTGTCAGCAGGGCAGGGGGCGATTCCCTCTGCCGGGGGAGCAGTCCCTAGCAGTCCCAGGCTGCCTCCTGCCAAGGGAGCCCCCCAAAGCAAGCCTGAGGCCAAAACCTCCCCTGGGGCTCTGAGCCTGCAGGCTGGGAAGGAGCCCAAGCAGAAAGGGACCAGTTCCACTGTCAAGGTGAGTGTGAGTGAGCTCTGGTGAGTGTTCCAGTGGGCACAGCTTCCCTTTGCCAGTGTGACTTGCTCATGCTGTCAGTGAGGCTGAGAAGCACCAGGCATACAGGGATGAACTGGGGAGGCTCTAATTTGAATTCTGTTCTCCTACCCAGGAGTCAGTTGCAGCCCAGCTCTCACTGAGGGGTTGCTCAGATGCCCCCAGGACTGGGAGGTATCTCTTCTCCAACCAGCCATGCTCTCTGGGGAGCTCTGGGATCCCCTTGCACGGGGGGATTTTGTGCTTTGCATGTGCCTGTGCTCTGCAGGCCTGGTAAGCTGGAAGTTGCTGTGGTTTCTCTTTCACTTTCTTGATGCCCCATCCTCTGGGACCTGGGGCTCACTGAGCTGGCTGTGTGGCAGTGTGTTTGGGTTGGGCTCTTCTTCCATCCTGGACTGTTTTCCTTAGCCAGTGGCTTCCCTCAGTGAGGGATCAGTTGTTTCCAGTGCTTCCAGGAGGATGAAGCTGGTGGTGCACCAGTGTTGGGGGCAAGATGGGCAGTAGATCAGAAAGTGCTGCACTGTTGATGGATGATGTGAGCATCTTGACTCTGGTGGGCCAGAAGCCCTGGGAACATCAAACAGAAATGTAAGGGAGAAGCAAAAGGGAAATTTGCTTTGTTTAAAGGAAGTCATGCAAGACTGCAGGTGCAAGACTGTGGTTAGGCAGTGTAGCTAAGAAACATGAGTAATGTGGTTATTGTTCAGCAGTGAAAGATTTTACCTAAGGCTGTAAGAGTATATAAACTGAGTTGTAGAAACAATAAATGGCTTCTTGCTTGCACCAGGAGTCCCAATCACTAACACACCAGGAGGAGATGCTGTGCTTCCAGAGTCTCCTGTTTCATTGGGCATTGTTTGTCTCCCTGTTGCAGAATGCAAACACAAAAGAGAAAAATCAGACCCCAGGTGAGAAAATGCCCAGTGTGAGTGAGAAGACAAGTCCAAGCCAAGGAGCCAAGGCTGCCAGGAAGGAGGGTGCTGTGGCTGCAGCAGACAGCCCCAAGAACAAAAAGGAACAAAGGAACCAGAAACCAGTGGAAAATATTAAAGAAAGGTGAGAACAGCCCTGCTGCTCCCCAGCATTCCTCACTAACAGGAGCTGCTGTTATGTGCTCCTGAGGAGGACTCAGGACTCCAGATTGAGGTGCTGGGATTGGGTCAGTACATACAGACATGTGGAAATGGAATTATCTTGAAACTGAGGTGAAGTGGTTGTGCATGACAGAACCAGTGTTGAATGGGAGCTGCAGCATGGGTGATGTGTTGAGCCTGCTTGAGCATCTGATGGACAAAAAAGATTATTCTCTTATTTCTTGCTCTTATGAGCAGTATGTGCTTCACACACACAATGCTTCAGGTGAATAGTGTGAAGAGCTGTTTTGATGTTCTGCTTAATGTGTATGAGCTGGAAGGGGTGGAAAGTGTGGCCATTCCAGGTGACTCTGCTGGGCCAGAGCATCTCCTGCTGCCTTTAGGAGCCCATTTTTCCTTTTTTGCACTGGGCTTTGCACTAGGCCTGCTCAAACATCAGTCTGAGTGAACTGCTGCCAGAGTTAATGGGTCTTGCAGCCACTCAGCTGGTGGCTCGAGTCTGATTTGAGGTCTGCAGTGATTTGTGCAATTAAAAAAACACCAACAGAATCTCTTCTATTCCCCTTCCAATTCTGTCCTGCAGTTCTGTGAGCCGCAATGAGGGTGTTACAGTGCATTTCCATGCAATATTATCCAAAGACTTCAAGCTCAACCCCAATACCCATAAAGTGTTCATCAGGGCTCAGGGCATTCCTTCCTACGCCAACTGGAAGGACAACATCTGTGAGCTGAACTGCACCAGGTGAGTGTTCCCTGCTCTGAGAACGGGATCCCTCTGGGGCCTCAGCCACTCTGCAAGGGATGGCTCTGTGCCCACAGCTGGGGGTTGCAGCAAAGGGTTTCACAGTGGAGAAAACCGTTCTAAAGTGTTCTTGTGAAAGAACAGTCACCATTCCTATTAAAAATGGAGCAGTGCACGAAAAAGGAGGTCTGTAGATCAGCTAACATGTTCTTTACCTGCCTTTGCTGTGTTTGTGTTTCCAAGGCATCTGGAAGAACATGGATACCTCATTGAAGGTGCTGTAACTCTCAGCAGAGAAATCCTGGATGAATACATTCCTTACAAGTACTGGGTGTTCTGTGGGAAGGGGGAGTACGAGTTCATTTACAAGAATTCAGAATCCAGTCAATACGTGAATCGCTGCTTATTGATAAACAGCACACTTCTCAACAATGGAGGTGAGCTCTGCTGGCTGGACCTGCTCCTTGGGCTGATCCCTGCTCTCCTGTGGCCCAGCATTCATGGCAGGCAGCCCTGTCTGAAGCTGGCAGCTCAGTGGGCTGCTGGGGGTATTGCTGAGGCAGCTGGAAGGGAAAAGGCACCTGATTGTAATGGTTGTTTTCCTGTGTTCTCCCTGTGCTGCCGTTCCAGAGTGGCACCAGTACGATGACATCGTGTGTGCAAAACCTTCCAAGTTCAAAAACTTTCGGCAGATCTTTACTTTTGATAAAAACAAGGAAGTGGTGGAAGGGAAGAAAATAGCTGCCAATATTATGTTAGAAAGTATCTTCAGCATTCTTGGAACCTGGAGTCCTGACAATCTGAGGAATTTCTTCTGCCAGCTGAAGCAGTTCCATTATGTTGCAGTAGCCCAGCGGGTGTTTGAAGGCAAGGCAATGCCATGGAGAGAGTTAAACTTTGGCACAGAGCAGGTAATCTCCCTTCTCTTGCACAGAGACAGAAGACATTCTGTTGCTGAACACAAATCTTAATTTTGCTGTTGATCTCGCTGGGTTCATTTTGCTTTTCCAGTCAAAGTTTGGGTACAGAAGCAGTGGGGATCCTTCTGGGGTGGCTGTCACTGACTGCCTTGGGGGCTTCAGTCAAACCTGTGCACCTCAGTGTGGTTCTGAGACCCCATGGGGGTCAGCAGCAGGGCTGTGATGTGATGACTTTGTACCTGAATGGGTTTTGTGTCTGGATATTCATTTCCTAAGCCTTGCCATTAAATTTTGCTGCCTGTTGTTCTGTCACTAACAGCTTCTCTGTACTCATCTCTTGCTCCAAACCTGCCTGCTTTTTGCGAGAAGCTCCTGATCCTGTTCTAAGCAGTGATGCCAGAAAGGCTTCTGTAATTCAAAATTTCTTACTTGACATAACTAGGAAATGTGACAGAAATGACCCATTGTCTTTTTTGGTTCTCGGGGCTGCTCCTTCCTGTCCTGTGGCCTCTCTGGAACTGGCAGAAGATGTTGGCTTCAGAAGAGAAAGGCTAATGCTGTGCTTGGTTTGTTTCTTCTCTTCTTTGTCCCAGGTGAATGATTTGCTGCTAAAATACATGCAGAAAATAGCTCTCCCTTTCCTTGCACCAGAAGCAGCTCCAGAAGACAGAATCATCCAAAGCAAACTGGCTGTGGGGCTCACCATTCTTGTGGTAGTTGAGAACCATTCACTTGCAGTACCTAAAAGTGACCTGGCTGAGCTGTGCAGCCTCTTGTGCTTGGATCAGGTGTCACCACAAGATGTACAGGATGAGATTCATCACATCAAACAGGCTTTTGCAGGAGTTACCAAGTAAGTGCTCCATGTACCTTCTAACCGACCAGGCTGGTGTTGCTTTGATAAAACAACAGGAATCCAACTCTCTACTGCCAGAGAACCAGAGAAAAAGCTATATTTGAAGGTATCTTTGGAGGTCTCAGTTCCAGCCTCCTGCTTGCATCCAGGCAAGGCTGCAGTGCACCATTCCACACTTTTTGGTTGGTTTCCCTGGAGTGCCTGTTTGCCAGGTTGTAATCTGACTGCTTAGCTGGCACTGAATTTGGAGTTCTTCACTCACACAGCTGCAACCATTGCATTTGTTTCTGGAGTCCTTACCTGTGTGGGTGTCACAGGGCTGGGGGGGCTCATGGGGAGACTGTAGCTAAAGGATTGTGTCTTCCCAGTGCTCCAGTAGCAGGATTTGTGCAGAGAGATTCAGTAACATTGCAGCTCTGGCCCTTAAACCTGGGCAGCTACACTCTGCAATGAAGAGTAGATGGAGCTGAAATAATGACCAGAGGTTAATTAAAGGCACATAGGGAGATGGAAAAGTAGCCTCCCACACCCCTAGGGTGTTCTCAAGGCTGGGATAAAGCTGTTCTTTCACTCAGTGTGTTTGTTTTGTTTTTTCTTTTTTTATTTAGCTTGAAGGTCGACCTGACAAACTTGTGCCAGAGGTGCATTGAATGTGACATAGACCAGTGGGTGTGGGTCCTTCCCCTTCTGCATTCCTTTGCTGCTCCCCTGCAGCAGCAGCAGCACGGGCTGGTGGAGGAGGATGCCTGGGCAGGGCTGGAAGGACTTCCATTTGCTGAAATCAGGAGGAAGCAAGATGCGTGAGTTTTCCAGATCTCCCAGTTCCTCCCAGTGCCCTCCCCATCTCTCTTTTTTGTTGTTTTCCCCCTCCCTCATTTTTAAAGAGTATGAAATGTATCATGTTGAGGGAGGATGTTTGGGGTGTTTGGGCACAGCCACACTGGTGGCTCAGAGGTCACTGAGTTAGCCCAGCTGGGCACGGTGTGACCCCTCAAACACAACCCCCCAGTTCTGCCAGCCAGGGAGCAGGTGGGAGCTAAAGCTGCTCCTGTTGTGTAGGGAAAATAAACTCCAGGTCTTGGTCAGACTCTGAATGCTTGTGCTTGGTGGTTTGGTTCTGCTGTGCCACCTCAGGGCCCTGGGGACTCCCACTGATCTCAGCTGCAGGGGCAAAAGCACAGGAATGAGGAGGAGATTCCTATGTGGGCTGCACAAGCTCACAGCCTTTTGTTCGCTGGAATCCTGAAGATTTTGTTTTGTCTCCCCTCCAGAGGCACCCTGCTGGAAAGAATGAGAGAAAAGAAGCACTTGGTGGAATTTGATGGGACTCTGGTCAAGTCCTGGTTCTGTGTGCTGCCCCTGGGGAGCCTGGCTGAGTTCATAAGAGACTTCTCCAGTGACCTGTTAGTTACTCTTCAAGGTGTTCTGTACAGGTTGGAGAATGTTGACCTCTCGTGGAGAAGCTCTCAGGTTTGTCTTCTGGCAGCTTTACCCAGCTCTGGGATGAAGGCTCAAACTGAGCACCACTGAGGGGACTGGGGCTGGCAGCAGGTCACAGCACAAAGAGCTTCAAACCTGGCTAAGAGCAAAAATAGTTGCTATGGAGTCAGAGACTCCTCAGGGGGAGAGTTGGGGGTTTATCTGCAGCAAAAATTGGTGTTGGCATTGATGAGGGGAGGGTGTTCTTAGCTGGATTTGCTCTTGGTTAGTGATGGCAAATATTTCATTCCTGACCTCCTCAGACATGTACTTGAAACTGTTCTTTGCACAGGAGGGTTGGGCAAGGGGCTGCTGGTTTGGGAGATTTTCCTGCTGTTGTGAAAGCTCTTGTATTGCTGTGAGGACAGCAGGAGTAGGACCTTGCAACTAATAATAGATTTGAGACCTCCAAATTGTAAGAAGTACAGGTTGGGTTTGTGCATATAAAAGCTGCCCCAGTATTGGCTCTGACATCCAGTAGCTAAGTTCTGCTATTTTACAGTGTATTTATAAAAATGTTGGAGAAGATGCAAAAGAATAGTGAGTTCCCTCTTCCTCAGCTAATCAGAGTTTCTTCCACAGTTTCATGTTTTTGTGTTTCCATTCTCAGGTAGAGAAGATTCTAAACACAGTGCTGCATGCCTTGGATGAGCCCCCAGCCAGGTAAGTGCAGTGCACCTCTGTGAGAGCATTGTCTGCCTCTGTACCAGGGCTGGGGTCCTGCTTGTGTGCCTTGACATCTCTGTGGAGAAAAGAATCCTGGAGTTCTATCCCATTTTTTAAATCCAGCTGAGGGAGGCAGCTGCCACACAATATTGAATTTGGTGGGGTTTTTACTTTGTTTTTAATTTTTTATTTTTCCTCAGAGCAGAAAATTAACTCTCCCTCTGTGTTGCTGCCCTACAGAGCTCTGGGGGCTCCTTCTTGGCGGTGCTGCTTGTCCTGCTGCCTCAGGCTGCACGAGAGGCTCTGCAAGGCTACCAGGACAGTGAGGTTGTTCCTGATCCCTGCCACTGCTGCCACCCTGATTGCCAAGGTTGCCCAGCTTCAGCCCCCAGCAGTGAGTACCAAGGAACTCTTGGTTTGATACAAGCAAGAAATGTCACAAGTGTGGCACAACACACTGGGTTTAGGTCAGATCCAGTCTCTGTTTGAAGAACTTCACACTCTAAGCAAGACTGTGATACTTTCAGACAGGTGTGGAGTCACCAGATGAGTTTAGTTCTTATTGGAAATAAGGTCAGATGCTCAGGTTTGCTGTGATAAGCTTTGTCTTAAGTCTGGTTATGTTTCCCTTTAAACATTTGTTATCTTTACTTCCTGGAACAAGCTTAAGCACAACCTGCCTGTAAGCAGTGCACTTTCTCAGCCTCTCTGCTCTTTATTCAAGCAGTGCTGAGTCTGTTGCTGGGCTCTTTTGTGTTCTGGGTGTGTTTGGGCCTTCTCTTTAGAAATACTGATGTAAATCAGTTGTCTGTTGCTGTCCTGTTTGAACTGTGTTTATTTTGTTGTCTTCCCCTCTGTGTGGGGCAGGTTCCAGGGGATGCTGTGCAGGAAGTTCCAAAGCTGCTCAGTGGAGCTCTGAGGGAAGCTCAAACCTGGTTCAGAAACGTTTTAAAAGAGAAATTACTGAAGGAGTACCTGGACCACGTGGCCTTCTCTTTGTTCTTTGAACTTCGGGTTTGTCATCTTCTCGTAATGTCAGTACAAAGGGGCTTTACTGTAGCTTAGCCAAGGTCTTGAGTCTGCTGGCTCTTTGCTGGGCTCTGCAGCTGTGGCTGGGTAAGGAATGGGGTGGGAATGGGCAGTATTTGAAGCTCCCCTCCATTCTGCTCATCCTTGGCTGTTCCTAAAGGCATTGCTGGGGTGAGGAGCTGCCCCTTGGTGTTATCTTGCTCCCAGTGTGTCCCACTGGTTGTCCTCAGGCCTTCCAGCAGGCAAAGCTCAGAGCAGCCCTGCCAGTCTGAGCTGCTGTTCCTAGCCTTCCCAAGTTCCAAAGCTGCTCAGTGGAGCTCTGAGGGAAGCTCAAACCTGGTTCAGAAACGTTTTAAAAGAGAAATTACTGAAGGAGTACCTGGACCACGTGGCCTTCTCTTTGTTCTTTGAACTTCGGGTTTGTCATCTTCTCGTAATGTCAGTACAAAGGGGCTTTACTGTAGCTTAGCCAAGGTCTTGAGTCTGCTGGCTCTTTGCTGGGCTCTGCAGCTGTGGCTGGGTAAGGAATGGGGTGGGAATGGGCAGTATTTGAAGCTCCCCTCCATTCTGCTCATCCTTGGCTGTTCCTAAAGGCATTGCTGGGGTGAGGAGCTGCCCCTTGGTGTTGTCTTGTTCCCACTGTGTCCCACTGGTTGTCCTCAGGCCTTCCAGCAGGCAAAGCTCAGAGCAGCCCTGCCAGTCTGAGCTGCTGTTCCTAGCCTTCCCTGGGACAGTTTCCAGCAGCAGGGTGGAAGTGGCTTATCCAAAAGTTTCCTTTAGCAGCGGAGATATTTACACACTGTTTGGGCTTAAAAGCTGCCTTTTGCAGCTCTGGGAGTGCTCCTTTTCCTCAGGATGGAAACATCTGGGAGGGCTGCAGACTGTCTGAGGCGTGTGGGGCATCTCTTCTACATTGTTCTTTTAACTTCCTTTCTCTGTTAAATCTCAGCACTCAGTGGTTTGAGTTGGTTTGCTTGTCCCCTGCAGGCCTGGAATAAGTTTGTGACTATCAGCTTTCCAGATGAGCAGTTCACCCAGACGTGGAGGAACACTTTACTTGCAGATCTGAAGAAAAGAATCCAGCAGGTAGGGGAGACTCCAGGCAGCCTTGGCTGGTGTCCAGAGCAGATGGAGTGACTTGTGCTGTGCTTGGAGCAGGAGCACGTGCAAACCTGGTGGCTTTGGCTGTAACAATTGCCATTGCTGTTATGAACCAGGTTCTGGAGGCTCAGCAGTTGGCCATGACAATGTCCCACACTGTAACCTTGGTCAGAGGCCTGGCTGCAGGTGCTGGTGCTTCAGAGGAATTCCACATTCTGAACAATTGTCACCTCTGTGGTTTTAAGAGCTAGCAAGTGCAAAATAAACACCCAGGGGCTCAGAGAAGCCAAGCTGGTGGCTCTGTTTTCATTCTTTGTGCAGAAATGGTGCTGCTCAGGCTCCCAAATGCACACCAATGTGTGTAAGTCCCTTCCAAACTAACACTGTGTATCTTATCTCTTTTCTACAGCAGTTACACATTGCTTTAAGCCATTGATTTTCACGGTGAAATCAGGAAACAAATGTTTTTTGCTGTGAGCGTGGCTTAGAGAGGTGGATATTAAGTAATCACACACTTTAGATGGAAATCATTAAAATATTTTCCAAGCATTTATTTGTTTGATCTCTCTCCCAGGCTCTCAGAAATGGGCTGATGCTCAGGTTCCTTTTATTGTCTTGTTAGCAACACTGCTTCATGCTGCCAGGAGAAACACTTTGAGCTGATGAGAAATCTCCCTTTTGCCCTTCAGGAGCCTCCAGTGAACCAAATCTTGGTGTACTGCTGTCAGCACCACCACATCACAGAGATGGACTCCTCCATCAGCTGGTGCTTCCAGAACTGTGCTGTAGAGGCTGTACCTGCAGCTTGCCAGGTATTGTGTGTGCCCTGGTAGGTGAAAGGAAAGGTAGGGAAGGGAGGAGAAAGAAAAGTGGAATTCCACAGCAATTCTGTTGCACAGGGATGATGTGCCTTGTGGTGGAAAGGGAAGGTGGATGTTGCTTGAGTTGCTGTGGATTGTTTGTTAAACCAACCACAAAAAATCACAAGAAATCAGGAAATGAGGTCCGTGAGGAATATTTGTAACGTGTTTCCACCGTGAGCTCTGGTGTCAGTTGTGTCACAGGGCTGGTTGGGAAGGCACAGACACAGTGGCACCCCAGAGTCTGACCCACCCCTGCCCTCTCTGTGTGCCCTGGCAGATGCAGAGCAATCTCCTGGAGCAGATCTCTGCCTACAACATGGGCCAGTTCAGCCAGCTCGTGTCTGCTGTCATAGTGAAGTCGTGGCCAGTCAGGGCTGGGCAGTCTGAGGACAATTTTGATACGATTCTGCACCACCTGCTCACGTGGCCTGACATCAAACAAATCTTCAGCTTTAATGGTGGGTCTGTAGTTGGGTTTTAGGAGGCCCTGAGAAGCTTTTCTCTGCCTCACTGCTGCCACTGCACAGAGCAGCAGAGCGAAATTGTCCTGCTCTTGTTTTAGTGCCTATCTCAAAGCTTGAACTATTCAGCTTGGGTTTGGAGAGGGAAGGCCAAGGAAGAGGGAGCCACTATTCCTCTTGTGCTGATCCACTGCAGCTTCCTCAGGATTTGTGGATCATAGCTTCTTTCTCTGAGAAGTTCTCACAAGTTATTGGCACACAAAAATGCCAAAGAGTTGGCCAAGTGAATGGATCCCAATGGCTTTTGTTTGCCCCACAGGGTTTGGGTCTGGGCTCTCCATGGGAAGTTTCCATATGCTGAGAAATCAGGAAATGAGGTCCGTGAGGAATATTTGTAACGTGTTTCCACCGTGAGCTCTGGTGTCAGTTGTGTCACAGGGCTGGTTGGGAAGGCACAGACACAGTGGCACCCCAGAGTCTGACCCACCCCTGCCCTCTCTGTGTGCCCTGGCAGATGCAGAGCAATCTCCTGGAGCAGATCTCTGCCTACAACATGGGCCAGTTCAGCCAGCTCGTGTCTGCTGTCATAGTGAAGTCGTGGCCAGTCAGGGCTGGGCAGTCTGAGGACAATTTTGATACGATTCTGCACCACCTGCTCACGTGGCCTGACATCAAACAAATCTTCAGCTTTAATGGTAGGTCTGTAGTTGGGTTTTAGGAGGCCCTGAGAAGCTTTTCTCTGCCTCACTGCTGCCACTGCACAGAGCAGCAGAGCGAAATTGTCCTGCTCTTGTTTTAGTGCCTATCTCAAAGCTTGAACTATTCAGCTTGGGTTTGGAGAGGGAAGGCCAAGGAAGAGGGAGCCACTATTCCTCTTGTGCTGATCCACTGCAGCTTCCTCAGGATTTGTGGATCATAGCTTCTTTCTCTGAGAAGTTCTCACAAGTTATTGGCACACAAAAATGCCAAAGAGTTGGCCAAGTGAATGGATCCCAATGGCTTTTGTTTGCCCCACAGGGTTTGGGTCTGGGCTCTCCATGGGAAGTTTCCATATGCTGTCCTGAGAATCCTGGCTTTGTTCAAAAAGACATGAGGGGTTGGAGGGTGGTGTGAGTCCACAGGCTGTTGGGTGGGGTTCAGTAGGAAATGGAAGGACTCTGTGCCATGCCATGGAAAAGTTCCTGATTCTGCCTGTTGTTTGGATCTTTGTGTCTGGAACAGGAACAAACAGAAACCTGCTGGACAAGCTCACAGATGAAGCAAAGGATGTCATGGCCATAGCAGAGTCTGTGCTTACGAGTGTCACCGACGACATGCACAGCGGCTGCATCCTTGTGAAACACCTGGAGGAGGTTTTCCAGCACGAGGAACAGTTCCTCTGCATTTGGGAGACAAGTAAGAGATGGGTTCAAAGGAGCATGGTTGGCTGACAGCATCACTGTGGTGATGCTGGCCTGCTCAGCAGGGGCTGCAGGGATTTGGGATGCTCAGGTGGTGTTGCAGGGGTTGGGAATGCTCAGGAAGTGTTGCAGCAGTTTGGAGTGCTGTTCCTTGGCCTAGGCAGGGAGCTGCCACCTCCAGTTTGTGTTGTCACTGCAGGGTTTGTGGCTCTGCAGTTCCCAGCCTGAGCTGGGATGCAGGGCTTGGGAAGTATCTGGTTTGTGATTACAGGTGAGTTTTCTTTCAGAGCACCAGCAACGACCAAGGGAGGAAAAGGAACTGCTCCAGAGAAGCCTGAAAGAACTGCTGGCATTGAGGCATGAAGAAGTCACACAGCTCAGAAGAGAGGAAAAAGCAGTGGGAACCTTCCTGAGCATGTGCAGGAAGGTGCAGAAGTCTGTGAGAGGTAGAGTTCTGAGGGAGCAGTCTGAAAGTGGCAACTCCAGAAAAGAAGCATTTTCCTTTAAAATCTCTTGGCTTTCGGAGCAGGTTTGATTCTAAGCTCCAAATTGAGGGTGAGGAGGGGTGGGGGAAGTAAACCCAGAGCACTGAGGGGATCAAGTGAGTGCTTGTGCATCAAATGACACTTGCAGGGGTCCACCTGCCTGGTAGCGTTTTGTGGCTTGGGGGATGGGATGAAGTGAGCTGGAGGCAGGCTGTACCAGCTGATCTCCCTCTGACCTGTCTCTTGTTTACAGTGAATGTAGGTGAAGTGGAATTTCAACACTCAAAAGATCTTCGCTCAAAAAGACTGAATCAAGTGGTGGTGGTGGGAAGGAAGCCCCTGCAGACCTTCTACAGCCTGAGCCCAGAGCTGAAAGAGTTTGTCCACAAAATGCATGCTTTTAAGGACAGCGTGATACTCCAGCAGTTCTGGGAGGAAGCAGCACAGAAGGCAGGAGAGAAGTATGTGAGTGACAGTCCAGAGGAGGATGAGGATGAGGAGGACGAGGAGGAGATTGCTCCTGAGCTGGACCTTGATGATGTTTTGAACAGCATGATCCGCCCTTGCTTTGACAGCTATGTGATGCTGTATGATGATCTCAGATCAGGAAATCTCACACTTTCTGCAGTGGATAGAATTTTCCAGGAGTTCACAAATCATCCTGAAGATCTCAGGGCGGAGCTGAACACCATCTGTGGGCTTTGGCCTGCAGAGGACAGAGGCTGGGTTGACCAGCGAGTCCAGCAGATCCAGCAATACCATGAAATGCATTTAACCTTTGATGCTGCCAAGATCATTGCCCATGTCAAAGAGAGTTTAGGCCTCTCTGGTGACTTCAGTATCCTGGAAAACTTGTTGCATATAGTAAGTATCCCTGATTTTGGCTCTGTACAGTCAGGATGTTGACTAAATTTGAACCTTCCCACAAGTCTACCCCAGTTTTTCAAGAGCCATTCCTTGAACCAAAATGCTTATTTGAGGTAAAAATCAAATGTTCCAAGTGCTTTTGTGTAGTCATTCCTTAAAGGGAGGTGATGATACTGCTCTGTTGGGATGTTGGTTTGCAGAGGGCTTTCCTTTCCCTGCTGCAGAACCAGTGGCATTTCCCAATTCCAGACTCAGTGAGTATTTGCACCACTTGCTTTCCAGACAGAAAAGCTTGAATCCTACAAGACCCAGAAGCTGGATTCCATCAGCCCTGAGCTTGTGCAAGCCAAGAAGCTGCTGCAGGGGATCACTGTGCCCCGCCGTGGCTGTCTGAGGGAGCTGGCCCAGCAGAAGGAGTTTGTCTGCTGGGTCAGAGAAGCACTGAAAGGTGTGTGCTGCTCATCCAGGAATTAGAGACTACGAGAAGGGATGGCAGCTCGTGTGGGGGCAGAAGGAACACCGAATCCCTGACTCATCTGCTTTGTGCCTTGGCAGCTTCTGGTGTTGAGAGTTACATCTCTGATGGGTTCTGGTGTGGAATGTGTTATGAGGACATTTTAAACGTGCCCATGCACTGCTGCAGCACACAGAGACCACCCTGCTGGGAGCTGGGCTGGGCCTGGAGGGCTTCAGCAGCTGCTGCTGCTCAGTTCAGACCTGTTGTTTCAGGGAATGGAGTTGTGTGTCTGCCAACTGAGCTGTCAGGCCTGCACAGACACCCTCACTTGCACACACCCCCCAGGCACTGCTCCCGTCCTGGCTGGGGCTCTGGGGACCTATGGGGATCCATGGATGGATGGATGGCCAGGGAGAGCTGATGGGGACAGGGCAGTTCCACAGGAGCTGCTGTTGAAAGCATTCTCCTTGCATTTCCTGTCGAGGGTGGTGATGAGGGCTGGTGTCCGAGCTGCTGTTGCTCACTCCCGTGTTGCCTTGTTTCAGACATAAATGAGCTGAAGGTGTTTGTTGACCTGGCCTCCATCTCGGCGGGGGAGAACGACATGGACGTGGACCGTGTGGCCTGTTTCCACGGCGCTGTGCACGGCTACTCCTCCCTGCTCTACGAGCTCCGCCAGGACTCGGGCTTCAAGGACTTCATGAGCTGCTTGCCAAAGCTGTGGCGAGCCCTGGACAGCGATGAGACCCTCCCTGAGAAACTGGTGAGTTCTGCTGGAGCAGGGCCTCTGCATCCTCCTGCCTTTCTGCCTTCCAGAAGTGGCTGGAAGGTGGGTTGCACTGGGCAAATGGCACCTGTGTAGGGGCATCACTGCAGCTCTTATTATTGAAGGAAAACCAGCTGATGTTCCTGCGGCACAAAGATTCACTGCAGCAGCTGTAGCTGGTGTAGCACAGGTTTCTCCAGGGCACTGTGAGGCTTTCCAGTGTGATGTGGTGTGGCTTGGCTCCTGCAAGTTTGATGGTGGGGAAGAGGAGAGGCAAATGCCTGGGACCTCTTACCCTTTGGCAGCAGGGCCTGCTTCTGCAGCAAGAGGTGTTGAAGCTTTCTTCAGCCTCCCGTGGAGTGGGTAAGGAAGAGCTGTGCAGAAAGAGCAGGCTGAAACCAGTACTCATTCCTTTCTTCCTTCTCCATCACTAAACTCTTGTGCCAGCCCAAGCTGTTGGTCCTAGTCAGGTGTGAGCAGGGATCAGATTTCACAGCAGTCGAGGCAGTGCGGTGTCTCCTCTCCCCACAGCGCGCCTCGGCTCAGCACCTGGAGTGGCTGAAGACAGTGAAGGAGAGCCATGGCTCTGTGGAGCTGTCCTCACTGTCCCTGGCAGCTGCCATCAACAGCAGAGGGGTCTATGTGCTGAGGGCACCAGCTGATGGCCAAAAGGTGAGGCTGAGGTCACTCAGCTCCTGCTGCCCCTCCTGCCTGGGGGCTGCTGCCCTGGCCTCGGGCAGAGCCTCAGCCCCAGCCATGCTGACAGCTCCTGCTCTTGGCAGGTCTCCTTGGACAGTGTCGTGCGCTTCACCCTCCCAGGGAGCTCGGGGGACACTGAGGCCTCCTGGAAGTACTCGCTGGCAGAGCTCCGTGAGCTGCAGAACAAACTGATGCTCATGTCAGCCAAGGGAGAGCAAGGTCTGGAGGTGGAGAGGTTCTCTGAGGTCAGATTCCAAACCCAGGGGGTTACTGGTGTTGGGGCCAGGGCTGGATTTTCCCTTGAGTATAAGCTTTTAAGGCTGTGCTTGACAGTGGAGTTGCTGGGGTGGTGGTCACAGGCACATGGGTGTTTCTGCCTTTGGTTCCTTGCTAAGGTGGAACTAAGCTGGAGACAGAACAGTGAACTGGTGGCCATATCCTCTGGCTGCACTGGGGATTGTCCTGGCTGGCAGCATCACTGTAATTTTATAGCAAACTGGGAGTTCCTTACTGGTTTCCTGGGGCTGCTGCTGTAAAAAAGTCACAGAGAGTCTGTGGCTGCTGTACAAGGCCTGACACACCTTGGGGCCAAAGACTCTCTTCATTGAATATCTTTCCAGTGGTTTTGTGGCTGAAACTTGTAAATCAGCTTGTTTCTCTGTCCTCTGTCCTCACACAGGTCTTTTCCAATGTCCAGAGACTTGCCCAGGCCTTTATAGACCTTCACTCAGCTGGGAACATGCTTTTCCGCTCCTGGCTCGCCCAGGTGTATTGTTCACCCCACAAAGAATCCTGTGTTTTTATAGACTTCTCCCTGGGCCCCATCCCAGTGCTGGAAGGGCAAGGGGATATGGCAGCTGTGCTCCCAGCCCTCTGCAAGACCATGGAGAGCTTCCTGGAGAGTTGGAAAAGCTTCATGAATGCCAAGCGATGTGAGCATTTCTATCTGAACTACTACAGTGCGGAGCAGCTGGTGTACCTGTGCTCAGAGCTGGGCCAGGGCAGCCCCAGCCAGGCTGCCCTCATGATGCTCTCCTTCCTCAACCCCCACTGCACTGAGCAGGGCGTCCTCACAGCCCTTGGGAGCCAGGGGCCTCCCAGCTCAGGCCAGGCTGTTTCTGACTTCCAAGTGCTGCTGGATGGGGAGAGGGACCTGAGCGCCCGGCTGGAGCGCATCTGGGAGTGCTACATGAGCAACATGGGCTCCTTCCTCCCCAACTGCCTGGACATGGACACACTGGGCGTGTGGCTGAAGAACCTGGCCAGCAGTGGCAGGGAATCTGTCACCAGAGACTTCCCTGACGACCTGCTCTGTGTGGGCCAGCCCAACCTCATCACCTGCCCTCGCTCTGAGGTGCTCAGCTCTGCCCTGGCCATTTACATGAACAGCCCCAAGGAGCCCCTTCCCACCTTCGATGAGGTGCTGCTGTGCACGCCCCAGACCAGTGCAGAGCAGGTGGGGCTGTTCCTGCGCCGGTGCCTCATTCCCTGCCAGGGAGGGAACAAGATCTACACGATGCTTTATGCGGATGAGCTGAGCTACGACGTCAGCTGCAGGGCAGAGGAGCTGTTCCAGCACCTGAAGTGCTACAGCAGCTCCTACAGGCTCATCATCCTGTGCAGCTGCGAGCGGGACACCAGCTACCTGCTCTCTGCCTTCAGCCACTACAAGGTGCACATGATTCCCCAGAGGTCACAGGAAGATATCCAGCAGTACCTGCAGCACCACTTCCGAGTGGCTCAGCCCTCTGACTCGGCTGCGGCCGTGTTCAAGGAGCACATGTGTGTTGGGATTGTGTCCTCCAAAAGAGCTGGCATGGGTAAGATGGCATGTGCAGAGTGGGCTCTGCTGAGAGCTCAAAACCAGGGTGGGGTTCACCTTGCCAGCTTTTGTGTCCAAGATTTAAGTATCTTGGTCAAAAAGAGCAATTCAGGCTGGTCAGTACAGGGAGGTGAAAGCTCAAAGTCGCCTTGTCCTCTGGTTTGACTTTAGAAACAAGCACAAAATAGAATAGATTCAAGTCCTAATAAAGAGCAAAGCTTCTCTCAGGCAGTGGAAGGAAAACAAACCATGTGGATAACAAGAGCAATGTGTTGGATTCCAGGCTCCAGCTGCTCAAACCAGATTTAGACTTTCTTCTGGAATGCCTTTTAGGATCCCTTCAACGTGCCCTTTGATCAGCTGCCCCGCAAGGAGAAGCTCGAGAGGCTCTGCATGGTTCTGGGGCTCCCCTGGGTGTTTGACCCCGACGAGACGTACGAGCTCACCACAGACAACATGCTGAAAATCTTGGCCATCCCAGCTGCTCAAACCAGATTTAGACTTTCTTCTGGAATGCCTTTTAGGAAGCTCCAGAGATTTTAGGGCATAGGGTAGTTAAGCATTTTATTTCCTTCTGTCTATTATGGTCTTAAAGTGATATATCTGATATTGATTGCTTTAATTCTTGTGATGTTTTTAATAACAGGGAAATCTCTATATGTGAAGAGGCTGCATGAGAGACTGCAAAAAGATCAGCCTGACTGCACAGAACTTCTGAAAACCGTCAGACTGATTGAACCAGAAGTGGATGAAGATAAAGTGCTAAAATCTCTCCTGCCTTTTCTGGAGAGAGAACACCAGACAAAGCCCATGATATTCCATTTTGATATCACCTCCTCAGTGAGTACATCCCTCCCTCCCACAGCTGCCTTGTCCCACAGGTCCTTTGTGGACCCTTGCAGGAGCTTTCTTTAAAGCTCTTGTTTCTCAACCAGCCATTTCCCTGGCATGTGTTCTCACATTATTTTGTAAGTAACACAAATACCATAAAGGTGATTTAACTCTGGAGCAGTTGCCCAGAGAAACTGTAGAGTCTCCACCTTGGATACATTAAAAACCTGACTGAATATGGCCCTGGCCTATTCTAGCTGGGCCTGCTTTGAGCAGAGAGCCTTCCCACCCTCAGCTGTTCTGTGCTTCTGTGCAGTTGTGATGGATAAATAAAGTGGAAGTGCCTTGCTATCTCTTCTTGTGATAGGTGCAGCGTGGAGTTCCAGAGTTTCTCTTCAAGCTGTTGGTTTTGCAGTACCTGACAGATAATAATGGCAACATGTGGCTACGGCAGAAGTGTCATCTGTACATCATTGAAATCCTGGAGGGCTCCCCAGTGCCAAAGACAGCAGCCAGACCTGTATGTACCAGCAATTCTCCTTTTCTGGGAATTTCTCAGTCACTTTGCACATGTTTGTACGTAGCTGTGGTGAGTTGTAGAGACTGTAACTGTAAACACAGCAGAGGAGTTCCCTGTTTCATTGGGGGTGTGCTGTATCCCATAACAAACTGGTGTTGTACAAGGTGACACTAACACCAGACAGCAAATTAGGCCTGTCCGGTGTCCTTGGGTTGATGATTTCTGAAGGCACTTTAGTCCAAGCCTCACTGCCCCCACTGTAGCATTTATAGGAAACATAAAAATGCAAAATCTAATCTCCCTCGTGTTAATTTGCATGTTTGAAAGTAGGTGCAGCTGTAAGAACAGAATGTAAAAGAAACTGGAATAAATACCAGCAGTTTCTTGGGTTTAGTTTTCTTTGAAGTAGCCCGGAGAAGAGGCTGGAGGTGATGCCAGGTTCATGTGTAGGAGGGAATAGGATTCCTTAGTGCACTTTAAGTGGAAGAAGGGGATGCACAGGGAAAAGGCTGGCTCCTGTTCCTCAGGCCTGTGGTTTTAGGCAAGGAGACTGTTAACAAGAGATTACCTAAGCTGATGAAGAGTGAGGCTACAGCTCTGTGATGACCTTTTATTTTCTTTTTCTCCAGATGTCAGTGGGCCAAAAGTATCACTTCTTGGATGTGTTTCCTAAAATAACGTGCAAGTCTCCCAAAGAAGTGCTAGAAATGGAGACACTTGGGAACGGTTCTGGGGATGTGGGAATGGACAAGGAGGAATTCTGCAGTGAGGCTTTCCAGAGACCCTTCCAGTACCTGAAGAGGTTTGACCAGGGCTGTGACCTGGACATGTTCTGGTACGAGGCGCTCTCGGTGGAAGGCAGCCCTGCAGAATGTCTGCAGCTCTTCCTCCTGCACTGCGGGGTCGTGGATCCCTCCTGGGCAGAGCTCCGCAACTTCACCTGGTTCCTCAATATTCAGCTGAGAGACTGCGAAGCCTCTGTCTTCTGCAACCCTGACTTTGTCCGGGACACTTTGAATGGCTTCAAGAACTTTGTGGTTGGCTTCATGATTTTAATGGCGCGGGATTTTGCGACGCCCTCCCTGAGCATTTCCGACCAGAGTTCAGGAAGACGATCCTCCCACCTGGAGAATGTCTCCGAGGAAGATCTGCTTCCTTTCCGCATCAGGAAGAAGTGGGAGTCAGAGCCTCATCCCTACCTGTTTTTCAATGAGGATCGTGTGTCCATGACATTCATTGGTTTCCACTTCCAGCAGACCGGGAATCGCATTGATGCCATCAATCCTCTGAATGGGAATGTCATCAAGAAGAACATCATGACTGCCCAGCTGTACCAGGGCTTGTTACTGCAGAGGGTTCCCTTCAACGTGCCCTTTGATCAGCTGCCCCGCAAGGAGAAGCTCGAGAGGCTCTGCATGGTTCTGGGGCTCCCCTGGGTGTTTGACCCCGACGAGACGTACGAGCTCACCACAGACAACATGCTGAAAATCTTGGCCATCGAGATGCGATTCCGCTGCAACATCCCGGTGGTCATCATGGGAGAAACAGGCTGTGGGAAAACCAGGCTGGTGAAGTTCCTGTGCCAGTTACGCAGAAGCTTTGTAGAGGTGGAGAACATGAAGCTTGTCAAGGTTCATGGAGGTACCACTGCAGAGATGATCTACGCCAGGATCAGAGAAGCAGAAGCCCTGGCTAAATCCAACAAGGAGCAGCACGGGTTGGACACCATCCTCTTTTTCGACGAAGCCAACACGACAGAGGCCGTGAGCAGCATCAAGGAGGTTCTGTGTGACCACACGGTGCAGGGGGAGCCTTTGGCCTCTGGCTCTGGCCTGCAGATCATCGCAGCCTGCAATCCCTACCGGAAGCACACGGACAGGATGATCCAACGCCTGGAGCTGGCTGGGCTGGGCTACCGGGTGAAGGCCGACGACACCCGGGAGAAGTTGGGATCCATCCCGCTGAGGCAGCTCGTGTACCGCGTGCACGCGCTCCCGCCCAGCATGATCCCGCTGGTGTGGGACTTCGGGCAGCTCAACAACTGCACGGAGAAGATGTACATCCAGCAGATCGTGCAGCGCGTGGCGGAGCAGCTGCCCATGGCCAAGGACGAGGTGAGGATGGTCACAGAGGTGCTCTTTGCCTCCCAGCAGTACATGAGGCAGAGGGACGACGAGTGCAGCTTCGTCAGCCTGCGGGACGTGGAGCGCTGCATGGAGGTGTTCAAGTGGTTTTGCAGGCACAGCCACCTGCTGCTGAAGGAGCTGGAGAAGTACTTGGCCGAGAGGAAAGCTCCCAAGGGCGGCAGTGACAGAAATGGTGTCATCTGGTCCTTGGTGCTGGCGGTCGGGGTCTGCTACCATGCATCCCTGGAAAGGAAGGAGCCGTACAGGACTGCCATCAGCCAGGTCCTCCCAAAGCCTTACGATACCCAGAAAAAGATTTTGGAAGAAATCACCCTGATGCAAGACTTATTCTTGAGTGGGGTGCCACTCCGGGATACCATAGCAAGGAACTTGGCCTTGAAGGAAAATGTCTTCATGATGGTCATCTGTATTGAGCTGAAAATCCCTCTTTTTCTGGTTGGGAAGCCTGGGAGCTCCAAATCCCTGGCAAAAACCATCGTGGCTGATGCTATGCAGGGCCAAGCAGCTCATTCTGATCTGTTCAAGGACCTGAAGCAGATCCATCTTGTGTCTTTTCAGTGCAGCCCTCTCTCCACTCCAGAGGGAATCATAGGCACTTTTAAGCACTGTGCTCGATTCCAGGAAGGGAAGAACTTGGAGGAGTATGTATCAGTGGTGGTTTTGGATGAGATTGGGCTGGCAGAAGACTCTCCCAAAATGCCATTGAAGACTTTGCATCCACTTTTGGAGGATGGCTGCATAGATGATGTCCCTCTTCCTCACAAAAAGGTTGGCTTCATTGGGATTTCCAACTGGGCTTTGGACCCTGCTAAGATGAATCGAGGCATCTTTGTGTCTCGTGGAGACCCCAGCAGAGAGGAGCTCATCGAGAGCGCGAAGGGCATTTGCTGCTCGGCACGAGGGGCTCTGCAGAAGGTCGAACAGTATTTCCATCACTTTGCAGATGCATATGAAAACATTTGCAAGGCCCAAGACAGGGAGTTCTTTGGCCTGCGTGACTACTACAGCCTCATAAAGATGTTTTTTGCCTTAGCTAAGAGCTCCAAAAGCGAGCCCACACCTCAGGACATCGCTGCAGTGGTTCTTCGTAACTTCGGTGGCAAAGATGATGTCAATGCCTTGGAAATATTCACTTCCAAGTTGTTACAAAAAGGGGAGATACGTGCTCACGACATCAGTAGGATAGAGTTGATCCGGCAGAACATTTACAGCAGTGCTGAGGATGGGGACTGCAGGTACCTGCTTGTGTTGACTGAGAACTATGCTGCGCTGCAGATCCTCCAGCAGGCTTTTTTCACTGCCCGACAGCAGCCAGAAATCATCTTTGGCTCCAGTTTTCCTAAGGACCAAGAATACACCCAGATATGCAGGAACATCAACCGGGTGAAGGTCTGCATGGAAACTGGCCAGATGGTTGTGCTCCTTAACTTGCAGAACCTCTACGAGAGCCTCTATGATGCCCTCAACCAGTACTATGTGTACCTAGCCGGGCAGAAGTATGTGGATTTGGGGCTGGGCACGCACCGGGTGAAGTGCCGGGTGCACCCCAAGTTCCGCCTGATCGTCATCGAGGAGAAGGAGGTGGTGTACAAGCACTTCCCCATCCCGCTGATCAACCGGCTGGAGAAGCACTACCTGGACATCAGCACCGTGCTGGACAAGGGCCAGAGGGAGGCCGTGCAGGACCTGGAGCGGTGGGTGCAGGAGTTCACGGCCGTCAACACAGAGGAGCACTTCATCAGCCAGCAGCGGTACCGCCCCGCAGACGTGTTCGTGGGCTACCACGCCGACACCTGCGCCTCGCTGGTGCTGCAGGGCACGCAGCGCCTGCGCCCGGCCTGTGCCCCCGCCGAGCTCCTGCCCCGCGTCACCGAGCAGGCGCGGCTGGCCCTGCTCAACTGTGCCACCCCCGACGCCGTCATCCGCCTCCGCAACTCCATGGGGGAGTTCATGGCGCACTCCCTGGCCCACACCTACTTCAGGCAGCAGCAGCACACCTCCTTCGCCGACTTCCTGGGCGCCCACGTGCGTGCAGAGGCCGGGCCCCAGACTGCCTTCACCGAGGTGAGGCTGGGGTGTTGCCAGCCCTCCTGACCCTGCTCAGCTCCGTGTGCCCGGGCTGCAGCGTGGCACCACCTGCGTGCACTGCGGTGCCGGGTGTGCAGAGCCGGCAGCAAATAAGTGGTGATTTTGGGGAAGAGGCCCCAGATCCTGTTCCTGCAGCAGTTTGACACGGAGTACTCCTTTCTGAAGGGCATCCGGTGAGTCTGGGCCGTGTTTTCCTGCTGGGAATGGGCTGTCAGCTGTGTGCAGGGTGTGTGGGCAGAGCATTCAGAGTAGCACATATGGAAAAGGGAGCTGTGCTGGCAGTGGGCTGGCTCTGCCCAGATATCTGCTGATAAGGGACAAACCTTGTCAGCTCCATCACATGAGATGGGGTTTGGTGGTTTTCTCTTTCCTCCTGTATCAGCCAAAGCTAATGTGGAATGACTGGTTCTGTGGTCTTTAATGTTTGGTCTATACTCAGTGACTTCTGTTAAATCTCTTTTCACTCTTCAGGGATTTCCTGGATTCCACTTCAGGAAATAAAGTCCTCATTATTCAGACAGATTTTGAAGATGGCTCTCAGAATGCCCAGCTCATCGCCTCAGCCAAGTGAGTGGGTGTGGAGTGGTTCAGTTCTGCCAGGCCACTCCTCGCTGTTTGGTTATTGGTGCTGTTTGGGGATCTCACAGTCAGGAATGTGCAGTCCTTTCTTCTGTAGCAGAATGAATCTAAATGCACTGATTGTATTTCAAATAATCCATAACCCAAGTCAGAGTAAGCTGAGCTGGGTGAAATGAGCAGATTATCCCCTTTGATGTGTGAATTCTGGCCACTGGCTGCAGAATTCCTGAAGAGCTGAGGGTCACAGGGTAATTCAGGCACAGCTGGGAGGAAGGAGTGGGAGTCACCTGTGTCTGTTCTGGGAGAGGACACGTGTCCTCTCTGAAGAGAGACCTGTGGCCATGGGCCTCTGTGTGCTTTTGCTCTGCCATCAGCATTTCCTCTTTGCTGCAGGTACACCATTCATTACTACAAATTTAGGTCATCAAGCAAGTTAATTTGGTATTTTTCCCTTTTCTTTTTGACAAAAATGTGGCATTTGCACTGCTCAGCAGCCTGAGTGCTCTGTCCCAGCACAGGAGGCAGCAGATGCTGCATGGCAGAGACTGACAAGGATCTTTCTTTCCCCTCAGCTTTTTCTTACTCTCTTTCCTTGCACCACACTGCCTGACAGGAGTCAGGGAGAGCTTAAGGCATTAGCTCACATTTCTTCCAGCTCTTGCTGCATGAAGCCTGACAGCCCAAGCAGCTGTGGCTGTGTTTGCAAGGTGAATCTCAGCTACTCATGCAGGTGCTAATGGATCTCTGACAGATGTTCTGCTGCTCTGGGATGCAGTTGCTAAAATAAACTGATCTGACTGATGCAGGAGTGCACTGCTGCTTTCTAATAAAAGTTCTACACCTTAGCTGCAGCTCTGCCTGCCAGTGGAGAAGCAGAGCAGGAGGAGATGGAGGTTGGAACACCAGTGCCAGGAGCAGAGCACCAGGAGGTCAGTTCAGAATACATTTGTTTGCCTCTCAGCTGTCACGTGGCTCTCTGCTCTGTCATCCGTGGATGCATCCCACCTTTTGTGTCCCCCTTCACCTGAAACCAGTCAGCAATATTTGCATCATGAATGTTACTGATCAGATACAAGCTCCTCCTCCCCACTGCCCAGTCAAAATCAACATCACTAAAGAAATCAACCATTCTAAGGACTCTTAATTCCTTAGTCATTTAATTCTTCTGATTTTTAAAAATCAGCTCTAAGAGTTTCTGTTGCCTTTCTCCCCCTGTAGGTGGGAGTTGTGGTCCTCAGCCTCACTCCAGCTGTGTGCTCTGAGGCAGAGCTGGAGCTGGGCTGGCTGAGGACTTGGCTGTGCTGCAGCCACATTCACACTGCCCCATTGCCCCTGGCAGCCTCAGCTGGACATGCCCAGCACCAGGGACCTGGAGCATTTCCCTGGTCACATTGATTATTTCCATTTTTTCTTTCAAACTGCTGAATCTTTCCCCTGCAGCAATCTCAACTCAGCACAAATGCTGTCTCACAGGCCAGTTTGAAAGGGCCACAGAAGCTGCATCATGTTCTTGACAGCAAAAGAGCTGAGATTTGCAGCCTGAGTTGAGGGAAGCTGGAAACAGGGATGCCAGGCAGCAGGCCCTTTGAGGGAGCACTGTAAAGCTTTTAAGGGAGTGTGCTGGGGACAGGAGGGTCACTCCAGGAGAATGACCTCGTTTCCCTGGGCAGGGGGAGATCCTGGACACCACGGTGCTGCTGAGGACCTGTGTGCAGAGTGCTGTGGGCATGCTGCGGGACCAGAACGAGGACCTGAGCCGGAGCAGGAGGCGAATTGAGATTCTGCTTGGCCTTTTCTCCAAAGAGGATGAGCTGAAAGGTGTGTGCTGTAGGGAGTCTCTGGGCATCTAGGGACCACCAAAATGGGGATGCAGAGGTCCTTGCTGTGGTGCAGGCAAGGGGGCTCTCCCAAGAATGTGTGTCCGTGCTGCAGTGGGTGGGTGGATGTAAGGCTTTTCTGCTGTTTAAGTAGTGGCTTTTTCTCTGGCTGTGCTGGCTGGTTTTTTTCCCACTTGGCCAATTATTGAAACAACTGTCAAATGCTGTGCTTGGTGGGATATTTGGGTCCAAGCTAATAGAAGAGAAAACACAATTTCCCTGCTGTTTTGTAGCCTCCTTCCTGAAGATAACCAAGACTCGTCTCTCCAGCCTGTTGAAGAAGCAAGAAGAAAATTCCCTTCACCCAAAAAACTGGGTGCTTCGGGAGGCTTCCAACCTCAGTGCTCTGCAGGAGGCAGGTACCTTCAGGTGAGAACAGCAGCACTGCAGCTTCCCAGGAAAGGTCTGCAAGTGGCACCTGTGCAGCAGAGACAGCAGTTTTGTGTAACTTGTGTGAACATTTGCAGTGTCAGTCTCCAGGCTGTGCTGGAAACTCTCTGAAGGCAATTTTAGCCTCTCCTGGGGAAGAGTGAGTTAGAGCTGAAGGGGCTGTACTGGGACAGGGATGCACAAGTGCTTGAGTGGAACAGTGGGCTTACAGGTGAGCCAGGAGTGAGAGGAGTGCAGGGTTTTTTGTTGGTGTGGTATTCTTTCCCATAAAGGCAGCATTAGGATTCTGTCACATGCAAATGTCAGCAGTTATTCAGGGCAGGCACCTCCTGTTTTGCTGACATTCCCTCTGGGTTTCTCCATCTCTGTCTCCCCAAAGGCACACCCTGTGGAAGCGAGTGCAGAAGGTGGTCACTCCCTTCCTGGCTCTCCTGATTGCTGTCATAGACAGGAATGGCAATCTGGAGCTGCTGGCCAGGCCAGGACCAAAGTGGGTGACAAAGCTCTGGATGTTCATCTTCAGTGACTCCAAATTCCTGTGTGTCCCTCCTGGTGTGGGGAAGAACAGGTGAGCCTGGGGGAGCAGCAGGAGGGCTGGGCTGGGCTGGGCTGGACTGGCAGCACTGGGAGCAGCTCAGCACTGGCTCTAACCCCCACAGGCAGAGGGGTGTTGTTTGGCTGCTCCAGGAGGGCAGCAGGCACTGCTCACAGTTCAGCCTGTTCTCTTCAGAGTCCTGCAGTTCCCTCCCCTTCTCTCTCCCCTCCCTCCTAGGGCTCAGTTGCTTTCTGCAGCCTCTGCCTCTGTTGTCTGCATTGTGCTTCCCAGACAAAAGCCCTGTACATTAATGAGCTTTTAACCCCCCAGCCCTCAGCCAGAGATAATCGTGGTGCAGAACAACATGACAGTGTCTGCTGATGCTGGGAATGAGATGCCCTTCAGCTGGAGGATAAAGGAGTACCTGGAAGAGATGTGGTTGGAGGCTCAGTACATCCAAAACACTGAAGGTGAGAGCCTGGCTTCAGCATCTCCATCCACTGCCCTTTGAGCTCTGGTTTGTCACTGATGTGCTCCTCCTGTCACTGGAGTCACCTTCATTGCCTCTGTGCTCCTGTGAGCCAGCAGAGTTCTGTGCAGGCAGCTTTTCTTTGTGCTTCTCACCATTCATCTTCCTCACCTGTTCTGTGCCCTTGCATTCCAAGTACCCCCCAGCCCTCAGCCAGAGATAATCGTGGTGCAGAACAACATGACAGTGTCTGCTGATGCTGGGAATGAGATGCCCTTCAGCTGGAGGATAAAGGAGTATCTGGAAGAGATGTGGTTGGAGGCTCAGTACATCCAAAACACTGAAGGTGAGAGCCTGGCTTCAGCATCTCCATCCACTGCCCTTTGAGCTCTGGTTTGTCACTGATGTGCTCCTCCTGTCACTGGAGTCACCTTCATTGCCTCTGTGCTCCTGTGAGCCAGCAGAGTTCTGTGCAGGCAGCTTTTCTTTGTGCTTCTCACCATTCATCTTCCTCACCTGTTCTGTGCCCTTGCATTCCAAGTACTGTGGAGCAGCCAAGAGTTAATGACAAGGTGAGATTGCAGAAATACAACACGGTGCTGGGCTGACAAGGCCTGGCCTGAGTCCCTCCTTAGTGCCCTGGATGAGGGGAGTGCTGGATGCATCAGTGATTAATGAGGTGTCAGTGTCTCTAGGATAGATGCTGTGTCAAAGCCAGCTTCCTCCCAACATCCAGCTTTTCTCTGCATCTTCATTTTCCAGGCCATGCTGAGAAGTTTGTGGAATACTTCCAGAAAACTGCCCTGGGAAAATTCATCTCTGCTCTGACTGAGGGAGAAAGGCAGATGCTCTTCGAGTGCTACATCACAGACTTTATTGTCTTGACCATCAGTGTGTCCTCCCAGGAGGAGCTGCAGGTCAGGGGCTGGAAATTCTTTGGATTCTTTGGGGAGAAGAGTGTGATGCCTGTGAATGTGTTGTCCTGAATCAGTCCTGCCTTGGGGGAAACCCCCTCTGGGACAGCCCAGCAGCAGGAGAACCCCAGAGCAGACCACTGGACACTGGGGTTACTCAGAAAGGCAGCACCTGCATAAATTGACACATTTAAGGCTGTCTTTGTAGGAAAGTGTTTCTCATCTTTCAGAGAGTTTTGCCAGGATTTCCAGTACTAAATGAATTATTAAAGTACTTTCTCACCTTTGGTTTTCTGTGTCCCACCCCTGCAGTGTCTGCGTGTGGCATTCATGTCCTGTGTTGAGGAGTGGATGGCAGAGTCCCCCTGGAGGAAGGAGCTGGTGCCCTCCCTGCCCTGGGCCCACCTGGCACACAACCAGTTCAAGAGCCGCCTGCAGAACTTCTCCAGGATCCTGGCTGTGTACCCCCCTGTGACTGGCTACCTCCTGAACCAGCAAGGATGCAGAATTCCACGCTCTGAGATGGTAGAGTCACTGCCTCAGCCCTGGCAGGGAGCTCTGTCTTCAGTCTCCTTTGGATTTCAGTGACAGCAGAGGGGAGCACAGGCTGGGGTTCCACAGAACTGGGAAATGATCTGCTGTGTTCTTATTGCTACAAGCAGGTTTTTAAATAGTTTGCCCTGCTTTTGCTTTAGTTAATAGGACATGCTAACGAGCCAAGCCACAAACATGAGAACTGCAGAGCTTAAAGTAATCAAGTAGGACATTATTCAGTGGAGCACGTGCTGTAGCAAACCAGACTGAGCCCAAGGTCCATGAGGAATTCTGAAATGCAGCTGTTGTTACCCCTGGCTCTCTGCAGGTTCTGGACGTGCTGGCTGCCATGGTGTGTGCTGAGGAGCTGGAGAAGCTGGTGCAGACAGCCTCCCCTGAGCTCTGGCTGCAGAGAGTGAAGAAAGTGCAGCTAATTGTGATTGGTATTTTAAAACATTTTTGAGCTAGAAATTAGAGATGTGAGAAGGTGTGTGCAGTGGTGCTGGTCCTGCTGCAGTGGTGCCTCCAGGCCAGGCCCTGGAGCCCCCTGGGTGAAGTGCTGGAATGTTCTGTCCTTTACAAAAACCTCTCTGGAAAGCCAAAGGGCAAAGCAAGTGAGAAGTGCAGGAGCAGCAGTGAGCCCCTGGCTACCCTGGTTGCCATTGCTGCTGTGGTGCCAGTCTGCTGTTCCCCCCAGGGTCTGCTGGAGCCGTGTGTTTGCCATGGCACTCTTTGTGGAACACGTCCTGTTGGGCATCCACGCCGTCATGCCGGAATTTGAGGGTTTGGTGAGAAAATACACTTTGCTTCTTGCCAAGGTGAGCAAAGCTGCCATTTCACCTCTTCCCTCTTCTGCTGATCATGGGAATTCTGGTCTCAGGTGCTGCAGCTGAGTAACTGGGCTCTGTCCTTTCCCTCTGCAGTGTTTCCAGCACGATTCAGACATGAAGTCTCATCCTACCTTTGTTGCAGTGCTGACAGTGCTGTGCCAGTGCAAGAACGAGGTCAGCAGCAGGCTCTACAGGTACTGACACTGGGTCAGGCTGCAGGGGCCAGCAGGGATATTGCCTGTGTTGCCAGCACACTGTGGTGTGGCAGTGCTGGGTGCAGTGGAAGCCGAGGGAAGAGCAATGTTTGGTTCTGCACCCTGAGCTGAGCAGTGAGCCAGCTCTTGGTCTAGCTGCAGTTGAACATCTTGTTCAATGCTTTTGGGGAGGCAGCACGGAAGCAGCTGTGCTCATTGCTGTTTGTGGATTCCAGGCATGGTCTGGAGCCGTGTCCCATCTGCCTGGGAGAGCCAAAGGACCCCATCTGCCTGCCCTGCAACCACGTGTTCTGCCACAAGTGCATCAGCCTGTGGCTGGTGCCAGCACAGATGTACTGTCCCTACTGCAGGGCTGCTGTGGAGGAAGTGGAGTTAACTGTCTCTGAGGAGCTCAGGTACTACAGCCACCCTCTCCAAGGTGGGAGCATTCAGTGGGGAGGCTTTGTGAGGAAATTCTCAACTCTGAAGTGGTCAGCACGAGCAGAGTGGAGGGTGAGCTCTGCTTCATCCCTCTGGAACTGAACAGGTCATGTCTGTTCTGTTGTTTGAAAAAAGGGGAAAGCTGCCTTGGCCTCTGTAAAAACATGCAAATCATAGAATGGTTTGGGTTGGAAGGGACCTTAAGGATCATCTTGTTGGGAAGGTGGAAAAGTATCTCTCCCTTTGGTGACTTTTGCCTGTGTGTGCTCAGTTCCTCTGTGGTTTAAGAGGTTCTGTGTTTGCTTTTGCCCCTCCCAGAGCTGCCATAGCAAAGAACTCCCTGTTCCGCCAGAGGTGCAATAATTTCTTCATTGACATGGTCACCACCATGTGCTTCAAGGACAACGAGCCCCCTGAGCCAGAGGTGATCCAGAGGCTCTTGAACCTGCTCTTTGTTCACAGAAGCCTTGTGAAAGACCCAAGTGAGCTCCTTTCACCTGACACTCAGTCTTACAGAGCTGGATCTGTCACCACCTTCTCTCACCTGCCCAACCTGTCCTTCCCTTGTCCCCACAGGTCACCCTGCTGTCTACACAAAATTCCTGTCCCCATTTAATGATGAGGTGGATGAAACTCCCATCATCCGCTCTGTGATGCTGAAGCTGCTCCTGAAGTACAGGTGAGCACATTCAACTGAGGGAGGTTAGGCCAGACCAGGTTCAGCTGTGCTCCTCATCAAACCATTGTTCTCCTCGCCTCCCTGAGTTTCATTAAATCTCACATTCACCACAAAATCTCACGATCTTTGCATTAGTCATGCAGCTTGGCTGGCTTGCATGGAGCTTGTGGTGCAGTGTGAGCAGCCTGTGCAAGGTTTACCTGGCTGTCCCTCACTAACCCTGTGCTGAGGATGGATGGCTGGGTTCTGCAAGGTGGCTGAGTAGTTGCTCTGATCTAGGTCAGCAAAGCAAAACTCCGCATTCACAGAGATTTAATCAGGATTTAAACTGATCTTATGTCTGCTCCACAGACCTCCCCATTCCCACAGCCCTCCCAGCCTCCCTTTGCAGGGATGGCTCAAAAGCCCCTTCTCAGGTGTGACCACCTCCTGAACCAGATGCCTTTTGCCCTGGGAGTGCTCACTAAGCACTGCTGATGATCAAAGCCTGGCTCATTGCCAAATGTCACCTGCAGAAAAGGGCACAAGGGCTTCTCTATCTTGCAGCTGGGTCCAGAGTGACCCCACCTGTCCCACAGCCAGCTCTGGGAGCTGTGCTGTGATTTAGAGCAGGGACAGTCCTGTCAGCATGGCAGCTGTGTCAGGGGTCTCTCTCTCTCCTGTAGCTTCAATGAAGTCAAAGATGATGTGCAGCGTTACCTGTCCCAGGTGGAGCACAACGAGCTCCTAGAGAAAAATGACAAAAAAGAGCTCTACTTGCTTTTTGTCAACTGCTTGGAGGTAAGAGCTGGGCCATGAAACTGTTGCAGTTTCATGAGTAAAACAAGAACAGAAATTCTTCTGCAGTTCTAGGTGTGTTTCTTGTGTATATAACTATTTTTCCAGCTAGAAAGCCCAGAAGGAGTTGATATGAAATCACCTGGTCAGAACTTGCTCTCAGGAATGAGCCTTGCTTTTCAAGGAAAGGCTTGTGTGTCTTTGCAGTGTTACATAAATTCTTTCCCTTGGACGTCTGAGTGTTAAACCTCAGACTCCAGCACAGGAGTGCAGCAAGCAGGGCCTTTCTCATGGCAGCAGCCAACTGCTGAACTGCCTTCTTGTCTCCACAACCCTTAAATTACTGTGCAGAACTTAAATTATTATGCCTTTTGGATTGTTCCCTTTCCTCCCCTTGCATAACTTTCAGGGCTTTGGACAACTAGAACCAAATATGACAGCAGGAAAGAGGTTTTATTACTACAGGTTTTTTTAAAGTGACTTTGTAGTTAAAATCATTTGTGTTTTTGCTAAGGGACAGACAGGTAGAGCTTGGGATCTTGGAACATGGAATGTGTGTTACTCACAGCCTGCTCATGGCTCTTGCTCAGCTCCAAGCTTGGGAGTGTGGGACAGCTGGGGCACATCCTAAAAATGGTGTTTGGTGACATGGCAGAGGTTTAGGATGAGGGGGCAGTGGGGTGGAGGGTGCAGGGATGGTTTGGAGGCTCAGGGATGGTTTGCTGTGCTCGTGGCAGGATGGGCTGGAGGCTCAGGGATGTTTTGGAGGCTCAGGGATGGTTTGGTGTGCTCGTGGCAGGATGGGCTGGAGGCTCAGGGATGGTTTGCTGTGCTCGTGGCAGGATGGGCTGGGGGCTCAGGGATGGTTTCCTGTGCTCCTGGCAGGGTGGGTGCCCTGGGGACACAGGGGTTGCTGGGTGAGGTGGCTCTGTCACTCACCAGTGTTCTGGCCTCTCTCTAGGATTCCATGTGTGAGAAGTCAGAGGACAGCCTGGGATATGGGCATGGAAGCAGTGTGCCTGAGGACAGAGCCTTTCCAGAGAACTACCTGGCAGCCAGCAGCAGAGGGGCTCCCCAGGAAGCCTCAGTGGAATACCTGCAGGCTGTGGCCGAGGTGCGCCTGTGCCTGAGCAGGGCTGCAGAGCTCATCTTCCACCTGCAGCAGCACACACGTGAGTCTGATTGCTCTGCTGGAAATGCTGGGTGCAGGGCAGGTGGGCTGCACACTGTCAGTGCCCTGTGCTCTGCTAGGACCTGTTTTGGTACATGGCCAAGAAGGAGAGCAGCAATGCCCTTTTTCCTTGGGGGTATCAGTCAGTGTCTGTCCCCTGTACCAGGTGTTGGAAGTTCTTGGTAACTGCTAGCAAGGCTGTGCTGGTGACCCCAGTGCAGTTACATGGCAGTTACACCTGTGGAAGGAGATTTATTTTATCCTCCTGATGCTAACAGTGAGATTTATTTAGAGCCCACTAAATTGAACTTTAAAGCATAAATGCTGCTTCAGACCCAGGACTGCTGTAAGGGTTATTGTTTTATATGAATGAGAGCTCTGCACAGCTAGAAGGGATTAAGAGTTTATATTGATGAGTTTATATCTTCCCTGTCAAAGAAATGAATCATTGTCTGAAATCTGGCTGAGAAAATGCTCCAGACAACACCTGAGGAAGGGAGGGCTCTGAAGTTCTTCTGTGTAATAACACAGTACTAATAAATGGACTTGGTGCTACAGCTGGGGCAGACAGAAAAGTTTTACAAGGTGGGATGTGCTTTTGCCTTTTTGTTTTAACCTATTTTTTTCCCCTCCAGAGCCAGAGCAGATGAAGGACGAGCAGCATTACCTGAAGAGTGTGGAGAAGTTCTGCAGGCTCGCCAGGAACGACTGGCACTGTGTGTACCTGGTCAGGAGGATTGCCAGCCAGCACGGGATGGAATTTGCTCAGAAGCTGGTCGCAGAGCCACGCTTCAGCTGGGTGTTCCCAGCAGAAATTCTGCAACAGGTAGACAAGAGGCATCTCCTGGTGATGGTTCTGGTCTCCTCTTTGCCTTCACTTTTTGCTGCTTTGGGTGTTCCTAGAGTTGTGTGCTCTTGGGGTCAGGCCAGAGTGGCAGTGGCTGGGAGCTGGTTTGTCCTGGCTCTCGAGTGAATGGAGACTCTCCTGGCAGCACCATGTCTGCTGCTGCTGCTCTGGGGAGCCTGAAATGCCACAGTGCTCGGGAGGAAGAGGAGATTCTGCCTCCCCCAGCTGGGTGGTTGTCCCCAGAGCTGTGCATGGCTGTTCCCTTGGCAGGTCCAGCACAGCCAGTCCAACCACATCGACCGGTACCTGGTGTGTGGGGAGCGGTCCCGGGCCCTGCGCGACGCCGTGGGACGAGCCATGATGGAGGGCACGGCCCAGGGGCTGCTCGAGGCCCAGGAGGTACAGCCCTGTCCTCGCTCAGACCCCTGCTGGGCCCTGTCCTCCCCCCAGACCCCTGCGGGGGTTTGCATGGCCCCAGCTCTGCTGTGTCCCTCTGGGCAGTGTCTGTTCCCAGCACCTGGGGGCCTCTGCAGGGAGCTCACTGGGGCTTGTGCTCAAGCACGTTTGCTTTACTTTCCACCTGCACATCCCATCACTGCAGCTGGGGCAGCTCTGGCCTGTCCCCTGCCACATCCTTGGTTCTTCCCCAGGCCTCCAGCAGCCCCCCAGCTCTGGAATCTGCCCACCTGCTCCTGGCCATCTTCCGAGAGGTCACTGCCCTGTACGGGGATCCAAGCCTTCATCCCAAGCAGCAGGTAGGACACTCCCCTCCGGCAGCTTGTGGCAAACCTGCTTTGTGGGTAAGGGTGAAGGGCATCTAAATCAGCTGTGGAGGAGCTTTTGCTCCTGTGCCCCAGCCAGGGTGATGGCCTGAGTGAGCAGGCTGGGGAGGTTTTGGGAGCAGGGTAACCCAGCATGGGAAGCAGCTGCCAGTGCTCTTCATTTGGGTGGGGGCAGTATCCTGATGTCTTTAGCTCTTTCCAATCTGTGCTTTCAGCAAATAGAGGTGATGACTGAGTTCATCCAGAGCTGCCAAGTGCTGAATTCCCCCGAGCTGCAGCATTTTGCAGTTGCCCTGGTGAAGAACACCCTGCCCGGGCTGGCCGTGGAGCCACGGGGCCGCAGCCAGCAGGGAGCCCTGGTGGAAATGGCTGTGCACGTGGCTGCTGTGCTGCTCTGTGGGCACAGCCCTGTCCTGCAGCCCCTCAGGAACCTGGCCTTCCAGCCACACAGCATGCAGGTGAGGGCACGGAGCTCAGGTGCACTTCAGCTCATCCCTGGTTCTTGCCTGTGGCTGTTGTATCCTCTTTCTCAACAGCAATGCTCCAACTCACTGGTTGAGCTGTGAAACACTGGGGGGGATTATTTTAACACCAAGCTCTGGCCTGGTAGCTTTTCAAGGCATCTCTCCATCCTGAGCAGTATGAAGCAAATACCTTTGCTGATATTTGGGTGAGTGAGGCTGAGGGCAGCTGGCAGCTCCCACTGTGCTGACCTGCCTGCTCAGAGAGCTCTGGCTTCTCAGGCAGGGGGAGGGAGCTGCTGCTTTGCTGCTGCTGGCTGCCCAAGGTGTAAGGGAACATGCTGGTGTGCACCAGGGTGCACTGCAGGATGTCTGGAGAGTGCACATGCAAGTCTTAACAATACTGACAGTTCTAAGAGTGGATTTTCAAAGGTGAATTTGAGAATCTGCATCACCTGCCTGACCTCTGCTCTCAGATGTTTCTTGTTCCCCAGTGTGAACAGAGACCCAGTGAGTGCCTGCTGCAGGACAGAGCGGATTCACAGATCCTTTTGTGACTGTTTACCCCTTTCCCTCCTCAGCACTCCTTTCTGCCCACGATGCCCGAGGACATGATGGCTCAGGCGAGGACCTGGCAGGAAATGCGTGGTCTGCACTGGTATGGTGAGTGCTGCTGGCTGGCTGGGGAAGGAATTCCTTGGGTTTGGAGAATGAAACTGTTACAAATGTGAGAAAACACACTCCTCAGCATGAGTTATCCTTGTTAAATCCAGATTTGTAGACAGTTTGTGTGGGTGATGCACCAAAGGACATCCAGTGCTGTTTAGTCTTCAGCCTACAGCTGTTCACAGAGCATGAGGGGGCACAAAGGCAACACAAACAGGGTGTGAGGAGAGCTCTGCCACCTTCCTGGCCAGCTTTGTCTCTGCTTCCCCCAGCTGGACCTTCCTGCAGCAGGGAATGGGGGTGAGAGCATTCCTGCCCACAGCAACAGAATCTGGCTTTGATTCCTTGTTTCTCCAGGAGAAGCAGCACTGAAAAATTCCTTGGCTTCCTGCGTGGGCCTGTCAGTCCATTGGGCTTTGGGATAGTCAGGGCTTTGGATTAGATCTTCAGCATATTTCTTGCTCCAGGATGATGGTACCAGTGAGAGGGAATAACAGGGGCTCTATAAATCGGTCCTAGAATACTGTCCTGTTTGTTTCTCTCCTGACAGAATGTCCCAATGGCCACTTCTGCACTGTGGGAGAGGTAAGAATTTGGAAATGGTGGGTATTAAAGCAGACAAAGCTTTCAACAATAAACTGTTTTATTTTGTTTACTGGTTTGAATGTTCTGGTGCACAGAGTTCCACTTCTAAACTCAATATTATTGATCATTTTGTCATTGTAATGTAAAATTTGGAATACCCCTAGCATTTATACCATAGATTGGGAAACATCAGGCAGAGGCCCAGTTTGTAGCAGGGTTTGAATTAACCACTTAGGGGTTGGATTTTTGTTTCATTCCCTTTCTCTGCTGGAGAAGCTGTTGCTCTGGAATTCAGTGTTCTCCTGTTGCTTTTCACAGTGTGGGCTCCCCATGGAGATGAGCCGCTGTCCCGACTGCCACGTCCCCATTGGAGGCACCAACCACAAACCCCTGCAGGGCTTCCATCAGTCCAGGTGGGCTTTGCTGCAATGCCTTTGCAGGGCTAAATGATGTAGGACCTGCCTGTGCTGCCCTCAAAGGCCAGAGGTACCAACCACTTCATGCTGCTCTCTGGAAGGTGTAAGGAGGGGATGTCCAAGCAAGAGTAATCAGGCAGCAAAACCAAAGAAATTTGCTTTTCTGTGCACAAAACTGACTGGAAGCCTTCACTCCCCTGTGGCACTTTGAATTGGCAGCTTTTATGGCATTCAAAGACATTATGGGTCTAAAAGTCATTGCTGGGTGTCAGAGATGTCTTGTGTGGTTTTTGTCAAAGTGAAAAAAAAACCAAAAACATATATGCACTTTTCTACAGGATTCATGAGGACAGAACTCAGACTGGCCACATCCTTGGAGATGTTAAGAACAGAAGAACACTGGGAACATCTGACAGGGGTGTGTCCCCCATGGTCTTTGTGCTGCTCCGTTTGCTCACCCACCTGTCCATGCTGCTGGGAGCCTCCAGAGACCCTCAGGTATCTTCCAGAAATGCTTCCAAGTGGTCACAGATTGTAGGGGAACCTTTGTATGCTGCTGGTCCTTTTCATCATACTGCCAAGTGGCCAGGGCAGTCTGTCAGACCCAAATTCCCTGCCTCCTTGCCCAGGAGGGATTTTGGTTAATTCCTGCACTTCCATGCAGGCACATCCACCCAGCCCTGCCTTGATGGGCACAGGTAGCAGGAATCCCACAGGTGGGAGTGCCTGGCAGGACAGAGCTCTGTGTGCTTTGTGCTTCCCTGGATGTTTTTGGCTGTGCTCAACTCTTGCCTTTGTTGTCTTTAGTCCCTGGGAAGGATGATCAAGCCAACAGTGGATGACGTGGTGAGCTTCCTGCAGCAGCACGTTCAGGAGGACTTGGCACAGCTGACCAGGAGTCTGGGGAAGAGTGTGGATGACACTATCAACATCCTGCACCTGGTGCTCAGCAGCCTCCTGCAGGCCCCCCAGCAGCAGCCAGGCCAGTGTAAGAAAAGCCACCTGCCCTGTCATACCGGGGGCTGTGGCCATGCAGCCACCTTCCTGATAAACCCCTTCCAACAGCAGCAGCTGAGCTGAAGAGGAAAACAGAGTTTGAAGCTTGTTTCTTACTGTAGGGAGGGAAGAATTTTCGTCTGTTTGCTACTTTCAGTCGAGTATGTGGGGTTTGCAAGGTTTGGTGCAGTCAATAACTCTGAAAATGAATTATTGACAAAACAACTTCATGACAGATGGGCAGAGCTTGCAGCTCCTGAGCAGGGCTGCTCTCCCAGCACTCAGCTCGTGCTGTGTGCAATCCCTGTTCTGTGCTGCCTCTCAGTCACTCCCAGAAGCTCTTTGGGAGAAGAGGGATGGCACAGTGGGGTTCATGGTAGGGTCTGGAGTCACTGTGGTACAGGACATTAATGTGTGAATAGCCCATATTTGGAGTGTGGAACAGCACCAGTCAGTATTCCAAGCTTCATTCTGTCCTTGATCATGGTCTGACCTTGGACAACCTGTTCAATATTTCTGGGGTTATGAAGGAGTTGTGTAAATGTCCCCATCATTCACATGAAGCTCCTGGAAACCTGGATCACTGTGTGATCTTTGGGTGTCCCTCTCCAGCTGGACCAAGATACTCAGTTAACTTCTAGCACCTGTGAATCTGTGCTTTCTTTTCACTAAAATATTGCAGATTTAAGAGGTGAAATATTCCTGTTGCAGGGCTGGTGCAGTTTGATTATGTTCTCTCCACCAAGGAGAAGAGAAACAAATGGGAAGAAATTGTTGCAGACAAAATTATTGTTCCTGAATTGAAGGTGAGAAATCTGCTGTGCAGAGTCAGTAGCTGAGCAGTTCAAAATCCACTGGAAATCTGATGTGCTGTAATATCTGTGCTACACTTTTCACCTGGCTGTTCCTAAAGCAAACCCATTCATGGCACAGCTGCAGGTTAAGGATTAGCCACCTTTATTCTACCTGGGGAGATGGGAGCCTGAGACTGGGGTTGTTCTGGGATGAATTTGTATATCTGGAAAAGCAGAAATGGCTTAGCTCAGCTGAAGGTATTTCACAATATCCAATCATTTGTTATTATTTTAATGCAGGATTTGGATAAAAAGCTACTCAAGTTAAACCAACTGATACAAGAGGATGACAGAATCTCTTCCAACCCCATAGTGAAGATAGTGTATGGGGACCCAGCTGCATTCCTGTCCCAGCTGCCAGGGGACAGCCACGTCCACCACTCCAAGATGTGGAGCTGCCGCAGGAGGGTTTCCGTGGAGAACCTGGGCCACGTTGTGCAGCAGAAGAATGCCAAGGACACTGTCCCTCTGCTCTGGAAGTTCCTGCAGAAGGTGAGGGCGGCACAGGGGTGAGAGCCTGGCATTGCCCAGGACTAAACCACATTTGGATTGTGTCAGTTCTTGCTATGGTCTTGAGAATGAACACAGAAGAGATTGTTGTCTTTTAAACATTTAAGAAGTAATTCCATAAAAGTATTCCCAGCTGGTTTGTCCAAGTACAACCTTACCCACAGGCTCCCTTTCCTCTTCCAGGAAAGTGAGCTGAGGCTGGTGAAATTCCTCCCAGAGATTCTGGCTCTGCAGAAAGATTTGGTGAGGCAATTCCAGAACACAGCAGAGATTAAACACTGCTCCATCAGGGAATTCCTCAGGGAACCCCACTCAGGTGAGGAGACTGCCAAAATTGTAATTAATGAAACAGAAAGTGCTGGATTGTCCAGTTGAAAGTGAAGGGGAAAACTCACTTTTTCCTTCTAACTCTCACCCAAATGAACTGAAGACTTGGATAGGACTGGAAAAGTTAGCAGATTACTTTAAAGGGAATTAAGTACAGGAGCTTTTTTTATGAGGGTGGGAACTCTGTGCAGTGCAGCAGTGGTTCTGTGGGCATTTTAAGCTCAGCCCTAGAGCAAGGCTTGCCTGAAGAGTGAAATGAATGTTCTTCCCTTCCATTTATGAAGTTTGTGGCAACTTCTTCAATTGTATTTAAGTACAATTACTGATGCTTTTAAGTACTTATGGAAAAGTACATAAAGGTCATGCAGGAGCAGACAACAATGGAAAAATAAACTGAGCAAATGACTCCATTTGATACCTTTAGAAAGGTGTTTGGTGTCTGTTTAGTCTCTTGAGCAGTTGCCTGGAGTTCAGTGGTGTGCTCTGAAGATCCCTGTATTGTAGAGTTTCACCAGGAAAAGGTGTTTCATGGATTTATCTTTTTGTTGTTTCTCAGATGTGATGAGGGACCTGTTAGACAGGAGAGTGAATGTGTTTCTGTCTGTCTGGAACAAGCTGAGAAGCTCCCTGGACACCAATGGTGAGCAGCTTCTTTCCCAGCCCTGCTCCTCGTTCTGAGTTCAGGTTCCTCCCATCACTGATGCTGAGGCATATCCTCAAAACTGGGCTTGGCCATTGAATTTTAAGAATGTAGGTACAAGGGGAGGGATTTGTTTCCCTGTTGTAGTATTCTGACCTGAACCTGTTTCCTTTCTCACCTCACCTTGTCCCCTTTCGTGCTCATCCGTAACGCCGAGCGCGCGGCTTTTCCCAGGCTCGGCACCTCCTCCTGCCCTGGCTCAGCCTGGGCTGGCTCTGGGCCTCCTCAAACGCTGCTGTCTGTATTTCAGGGGAAATCAAGCTGCCTAAAGGCTACTGTGATGCCGAGCTGAGCCTGGACAGCAGGCTGGAGGTGCTGCTGCCGCGGCGCCGGGGGCTGGGGCTGTGCTCCACGGCGCTGGCCAGTTACCTCATCGGGCTGCACAACGACCTGGTGCACTCTGTCAACAGGCACACCAAGGAGGATGACAGGTGTGCAGCTGCTCCGCTCCCTGGGCTCTGCTGCATCCCCTGCTCCCTCTCAGGCAGTTTTCCCTGCTCCACAGAGGCCTCTCCCTCTGAACACAGGCCCTTTGCTCCCTGCAGGTACCTGGTCAGCCCCTCGGAAGTGGCCGACCTGCACCTGATCAGTTACGAGGTGGAGAGGGACCTGATCCCTCTGATCCTGTCCAACTGCCAGTACAGCATGGAGAAGGGAGGGGAGACCTTGCAGGACTTTGATCTGGAGAGGATCCAGCAGCAAGTGATCAGCAAGTTCCTGCAGGGGAAGCCACTCATCACGCTGACGGTAGGAGGGGCAGGTGCTGTGCAGCCAAGAGGGCTCTGGGAGCAGCATTCCAGACTTCACATCCATGGCTTTCTCTCCCCTGACAGGGAATTCCCACCCTGGTGCACAGACATGACCGGAACTACGAGCAGCTGTTCAGTGATGTCAGGAACAAGCTGGAGCAGGTGGGTTTCTGCACTGCAGGAAGCAGGGCAAGCATGAAATCCCTGCTTTTCCAAGGGTTTTCTGTGCCTTGCCTTGTCCATCCAAAGGCTTGTCTGCTGATTTCTCAGCATGCCTTGGGTACGCGCAAGCTGGCCTTGTGCTGTCAGTCAGGACTTACAAAGAGAAAGGGAATGCACCAAAGGACATCCAGTGCTGTTTAGTCTTCAGCCTACAGCTGTTCACAGAGCATGAGGGGGCACAAAGGCAACACAAACAGGGTGTGAGGAGAGCTCTGCCACCTTCCTGGCCAGCTTTGTCTCTGCTTCCCCCAGCTGGACCTTCCTGCAGCAGGGAATGGGGGTGAGAGCATTCCTGCCCACAGCAACAGAATCTGGCTTTGATTCCTTGTTTCTCCAGGAGAAGCAGCACTGAAAAATTCCTTGGCTTCCTGCGTGGGCCTGTCAGTCCATTGGGCTTTGGGATAGTCAGGGCTTTGGATTAGATCTTCAGCATATTTCTTGCTCCAGGATGATGGTACCAGTGAGAGGGAATAACAGGGGCTCTATAAATCGGTCCTAGAATACTGTCCTGTTTGTTTCTCTCCTGACAGAATGTCCCAATGGCCACTTCTGCACTGTGGGAGAGGTAAGAATTTGGAAATGGTGGGTATTAAAGCAGACAAAGCTTTCAACAATAAACTGTTTTATTTTGTTTACTGGTTTGAATGTTCTGGTGCACAGAGTTCCACTTCTAAACTCAATATTATTGATCATTTTGTCATTGTAATGTAAAATTTGGAATACCCCTAGCATTTATACCATAGATTGGGAAACATCAGGCAGAGGCCCAGTTTGTAGCAGGGTTTGAATTAACCACTTAGGGGTTGGATTTTTGTTTCATTCCCTTTCTCTGCTGGAGAAGCTGTTGCTCTGGAATTCAGTGTTCTCCTGTTGCTTTTCACAGTGTGGGCTCCCCATGGAGATGAGCCGCTGTCCCGACTGCCACGTCCCCATTGGAGGCACCAACCACAAACCCCTGCAGGGCTTCCATCAGTCCAGGTGGGCTTTGCTGCAATGCCTTTGCAGGGCTAAATGATGTAGGACCTGCCTGTGCCAGAAAGATTTGGTGAGGCAATTCCAGAACACAGCAGAGATTAAACACTGCTCCATCAGGGAATTCCTCAGGGAACCCCACTCAGGTGAGGAGACTGCCAAAATTGTAATTAATGAAACAGAAAGTGCTGGATTGTCCAGTTGAAAGTGAAGGGGAAAACTCACTTTTTCCTTCTAACTCTCACCCAAATGAACTGAAGACTTGGATAGGACTGGAAAAGTTAGCAGATTACTTTAAAGGGAATTAAGTACAGGAGCTTTTTTTATGAGGGTGGGAACTCTGTGCAGTGCAGCAGTGGTTCTGTGGGCATTTTAAGCTCAGCCCTAGAGCAAGGCTTGCCTGAAGAGTGAAATGAATGTTCTTCCCTTCCATTTATGAAGTTTGTGGCAACTTCTTCAATTGTATTTAAGTACAATTACTGATGCTTTTAAGTACTTATGGAACAGTACATAAAGGTCATGCAGGAGCAGACAACAATGGAAAAATAAACTGAGCAAATGACTCCATTTGATACCTTTAGAAAGGTGTTTGGTGTCTGTTTAGTCTCTTGAGCAGTTGCCTGGAGTTCAGTGGTGTGCTCTGAAGATCCCTGTATTGTAGAGTTTCACCAGGAAAAGGTGTTTCATGGATTTATCTTTTTGTTGTTTCTCAGATGTGATGAGGGACCTGTTAGACAGGAGAGTGAATGTGTTTCTGTCTGTCTGGAACAAGCTGAGAAGCTCCCTGGACACCAATGGTGAGCAGCTTCTTTCCCAGCCCTGCTCCTCGTTCTGAGTTCAGGTTCCTCCCATCACTGATGCTGAGGCATATCCTCAAAACTGGGCTTGGCCATTGAATTTTAAGAATGTAGGTACAAGGGGAGGGATTTGTTTCCCTGTTGTAGTATTCTGACCTGAACCTGTTTCCTTTCTCACCTCACCTTGTCCCCTTTCGTGCTCATCCGTAACGCCGAGCGCGCGGCTTTTCCCAGGCTCGGCACCTCCTCCTGCCCTGGCTCAGCCTGGGCTGGCTCTGGGCCTCCTCAAACACTGCTGTCTGTATTTCAGGGGAAATCAAGCTGCCTAAAGGCTACTGTGATGCCGAGCTGAGCCTGGACAGCAGGCTGGAGGTGCTGCTGCCGCGGCGCCGGGGGCTGGGGCTGTGCTCCACGGCGCTGGCCAGTTACCTCATCGGGCTGCACAACGACCTGGTGCACTCTGTCAACAGGCACACCAAGGAGGATGACAGGTGTGCAGCTGCTCCGCTCCCTGGGCTCTGCTGCATCCCCTGCTCCCTCTCAGGCAGTTTTCCCTGCTCCACAGAGGCCTCTCCCTCTGAACACAGGCCCTTTGCTCCCTGCAGGTACCTGGTCAGCCCCTCGGAAGTGGCCGACCTGCACCTGATCAGTTACGAGGTGGAGAGGGACCTGATCCCTCTGATCCTGTCCAACTGCCAGTACAGCATGGAGAAGGGAGGGGAGACCTTGCAGGACTTTGATCTGGAGAGGATCCAGCAGCAAGTGATCAGCAAGTTCCTGCAGGGGAAGCCACTCATCACGCTGACGGTAGGAGGGGCAGGTGCTGTGCAGCCAGGAGGGCTCTGGGAGCAGCATTCCAGACTTCACATCCATGGCTTTCTCTCCCCTGACAGGGAATTCCCACCCTGGTGCACAGACATGACCGGAACTACGAGCAGCTGTTCAGTGATGTCAGGAACAAGCTGGAGCAGGTGGGTTTCTGCACTGCAGGAAGCAGGGCAAGCATGAAATCCCTGCTTTTCCAAGGGTTTTCTGTGCCTTGCCTTGTCCATCCAAAGGCTTGCCTGCTGATTTCTCAGCGTGCCTTGGGTACGTGCAATCTGGCCTTGTGCTGTCAGTCAGGATTTACAAAGAGAAGGGAGATAGTTCAGCATTTCATTTTCCTAAATCTGGGGCTCTGTTGTCTCCCATGACTTGAGCAATTGGAACAGAAAAAGGAATGGCTCTAAAACAATATTAATTGTGACTTTGTGGTTTTCAGAGTGCTCTGCCCAGTTCTGTGATGAACATGATCAGTGGGGAGCTGCAGTCCTACAGTGATGTGTGTGATGCTCTGTCCCTCACTGAGATTACCCTGGGCTTCCTGGCCATTGCTGGTGAGAATGCTGACATGCTGCTGACTGAGTACATTGAGCAAGTTCTGCAGATGGGGGATCAGACAAACCCTCATGTGCTGCAGGTGAGTCCTGAGGGCAAAGCTCAGATTCTTGTGGGGTAAAATGTGGTTTATGCTAAATCCAGGCTGTGTGACAGAGCCCTCTCACTTTCCCACTGCCTGTTGTGGGATAAAAACTGGATTATTGAGGGCATATGGGGAAGAATGAGAGGGCAGATGGGCTGCACCCAGGCCAAGATGAGCTCTGTGCTGAGCTCTCTCTGGGCAGGGCAGGCTCCAAGGACATTCCTCACATCCACAGCTGTCCTTCTCTTCCAGGCGCTCAGACGGTGCCAGCTCAGGCACAGCATGGGCCTGTGGCAGCTCCTGTGTGCCCACAAATCTGAGCAGCTGCTGCGCCTCGGCAGGGTATGGCACCCCCAGCACCTCTGTGTGAGCTCCTCTGCCCTGCCCTGCCTGCAGCTGCTCACGTGTGTTTGGGTTTTTTCTCCCCTTGCTGCATTTTTAGGATCCCTTTGCAGATGTCAGTCCAGACTACAAAGAAGAGCTCACCCCAGAGCTTGCCAAGCTCCTGCACACCTTCCTGGTCCACTCCAGGCTGGAAACCTTCCTGCAGGAGCTCCATGAAATGATCATCCTGAAGCTGAGACGTGTCCAAGCTGTGGCTGAATTCAAACCCACATGGAGGTAGGAGTTGCACACCCAAAGCCACCACAGTTGTTAACTGAACCTTCTCTGCCTCTGAGCATGCACACAATGGGAACATTCCCTTGCCACATGCATGTCCTGGGGGACACGGCCCAGGCAGCAGCATCAGGAATATCCACACTCATTTCTGGCAGGTGTCACTTCCATCTCACACAGGCTCTCTTGGGGACATTGCTGGAACACTACAGGAGCTGCTGTCCAGGTCACAAACACCAGCACTTCTGCAGGCACTTGGATAAAATAAGAACAGAATCACAAACTCATTAAGATTGGAAAAAAACTCCATGGTGCTCAAGGCCAGCCTTCAAGGATAGGCACACAGCTCTGCACAGGCACAGCTCAGCCCCAGAGCTCAGCTCTGCCCTGCAGCCTCCCCTTGCTGGGCTCTGTGCCTCCACATGGCTGTTTAACCCTTCTCACTACACACACACCTGTTCACTTGCGGATATTGAGTATTTTGGGTGATGCAGTGCACTCATACTGTGGAACTTGAGCTTTGCTGTACCCTGCTGTTCATGCCATTCTGCTCTGTCTTCCAGCCTGAAGGAATCACTCTTGCCTTACCTTTATGCCAAAGACTCTGAATTAGCTCCGGAGCTGGAAGACACATTCCCAGATGAGATTCTTCTGTCTCATGCTGCTGATACCTGGAAAGCAGCTGCTGTCTTCAAGAGGGAGCACAGGGAGGGTTAGGACAGAGCCCTGCTACGGACGGCCACAACACCCGTGTCAGGGCTTCTGGAACTCTGGGCATTTGTTTGGGGCTTGTTGCTTGTTCTTTGGGTTTGGGGTTGTTGTTTTTACACCTGATGTGAAAAGGAGAGCGGCCGTGGAGGAGAAGGAGGGTGAAATAGACCCAGCAGCTCGGTGTGAACCCTGGATCGACACAGCTCCAGAGCCACTGGAGGAACATGAAGGAATTTTTTTACAAACCACGGTGCCCTCGTGCTGGGGCAGGGTTGATGCTTTCCCTTCTGCACTGGCTGCAGAACCGGCTCCTGCCCAGCGCCCCCGCTGCGGCGGGACCCGCACAGGGAGCCCTGAGGGCCGCGGCTCCTCCGCTGCCTTCAGCCCGGGCCGACTTCTCCCTTTCCCCTTCAATAAACTCGTTCAGCTCCCGCGGCTGCTCCCGGCTCCTTCCGCGCTCGCTGCCGGGATCCGAGCCGCGATCGGTGCCGCCGGCCCGGAACGGCCGCGCCCGGCCGCGCTTTCCGGGGAGCGGCGGCGCTGCGGGACGGGCGGGCCCCGCGCGGCCATGGCCGCGTCCCCCGCCCGGCGGCGCCGCTGGGAGCGGTAACGGGGCTGGGGCTGGGAGCGGGAACGGGGCTCGGGCTGGGACGGGCCCCGGGGAGCGCCCGGCGGCGCCGCTGGGAGCGGTAACGGGGCTCGGGCTGGGGCTGGGAGCGGTAACGGGGCTCGGACGGGGCCCGGCCGCGCTCGGGGCTGCCCGGCACCGCGTCCCCCACAGGGACCGGGCACCCTCGGGAAGAGCCGCTCCGCCCTCCGGTTGGGGTCTGGGGGCTCCCCGGGGAGCGAAGGGGTGCGGTTCGGGCCGGGGTTCGGTAAGCGGCTCCCGGGAGCGGCCCCGCTCTGAGCGCGGCGGCCCCGCAGGGAGCAGGCCCGGCTGAGGGCCGGCGTGGTGGAGGAGGACACCGAGGAGTGGCAGAAGGACCCGCAGTTCTCCGGGCTGCACAGAGTGGGAGGTGTGGATTTATCCTACATCAAGGGGGACGAGAGCCGTGCCTGCGCCTCCCTGGTCGTGCTCAGCTACCCGGCTCTCGAGGTACCGCGCGGCCCGGGGCCGTGGGGCAGCGGGAAGGGGGATACTGGGGAGGAATCTTCACCGAGAGGGTGGGCAGGCCCTGGCACAGGGTGCCCAGAGAAGCTGGGGCAGGCCCTGGATCCCGGGAAGTGTCCCAGGCCAGGCTGGACAGGGTTTAGATCAGCCTGGGACAGTGGGAGGTGTCCCTGCCATGGCAGGGGTGGAATGGGAGGGACTTCAAGATCACTCCCGAACAAACCATTCCATGATTCTGTGTGTGTGTGTGTGTGCTCAGCAACTCTTCCAATTGTGTGTTCCCCCCCCCCCAAAAAAAAAAAAAACAAAAAAAAAACCAAAACCAAAAAACAGCCCAGAAAAAAAAATACCTGTAAGGATTTAGACAGAAGTTCAGGAAGGTGTGATGCAAACAGCTCCCAGTTGCAGTTTTGTGGTTTGGCTGGGAACTCGCCCAGGTCCAGAGCAGCTGCCGTGCCTGTTCGGGAGCTGGTGCCCGTGGGCAGAGGGAGCTGTTTGCAGTGCTCCAGTGCAGAGTCCTGTGGGTGAGCTCTTGCTGGGAACCAGCTGATTATATGGGCTGTGACATAGGAAAGCTTTTCCAAACCCGCCGTGGGTCTCACTTCTCACAGTCGTTTTACTTGAACTAATAAAGATTTTTGGTCTCTTTCCCAGCTTTCAAAGTAACATAAAAATTATCTTTCACTGTAAAAGCTCTAACAAGGAGAGAAATAAAGTTTGATGCTGTCTGCTGGGATTTTAATGAACTGAATCTCAAGTCCTGCTGTGATCTGCAGGGCAAGGCGGGAAGCGGTTTTGTGCTGCCTTACACTGTTTGCTTTGACCTGTCCGTGGGTTTAAAAGGGATGAGCAGAGGGCACGAAGCAGAGGAGGAGCTCTGGGGCGTGCAGGGGCTCTCTGGCAGGGTGCTGTCTGTGCCTGCCCCAGGTGCTGTACCAGGATTGCCGCATGGTGCCCATCACCGCCCCGTACGTGGCCGGCTTCTTGGCCTTCAGGGAGGTCCCTGTCCTGGTGGAAGCTGTGCAGAGGCTTCAGCAGGAGGAGCCCCAGCTCCAGCCTCAGGTGTGCTGTGCTTCCCTTGTCCTGAGCTGGGCTGTCCTGGCTGCAGAGTCCTGGGGAAGGTGTTCTCCCGGGGCAGGAGGGGCACAGGCAGAGCTGTGCTGGAGCATCCATGCCCTTTCCTTGGGGAGCAGGGATGTGGAGCTGGGAGTAGCCAGCTCTCCCATGGGAGCCTGTGGTGTGTGCAGGGCACTGCCAGTCCCACACTGCTGCTGCTTTAGGGTCAGGCAGTCAGGAAGAGCCTTACAGGGAGTGTCTCCGTCTCTCTGGGTGCCTCCCAGTGAACCCCGGCCAGCCCCGGGTCGGCAAACAGCGGGGGGGCAGCCCCGAAGTGACCGACAGCGGGGGGACACTCTCTGGTGCCCCGAGGGTACTGAGGGCAGCTAGGCTTGTCGCCTTTGCAGCAGAAGAGACCAAGGAGACATCGGTGGAGGGTAAAAGGCCGACTCTCAGCAGGGGGCCAGTCCAAGGTTTATTCGGAGCTCCCCAGAGAGCCCCACTCCTCAGGGGATGCCCCGTGCTCAGCGCCAGACAAAGGAATTCCAAGGTTACATTTAAAGGGGGGGAGGAAACCGAGGGTAGGTACAATTGCTGACCAATAAAGACCCTCCAGGGATGCAGCCTTAGGGATGGACATTTGGGATAGCGTATAACATCACCCTTGGGAGGCTGACCCCTGGCTTCGGGCAAATCACTCGACGGCTTTGACCGAAAGATCTAGATAGACGGGATGGATGCTGGGTGACTGACAGAAGGCCAGGGCGGGGATTTGGGGGGTGATCTCAACACAGGAGAATGGTTACACAGGTAGAGGAAGGGGGTACAAAAAGGGGTACATCATCTGGGGAGAATCAAAACTATTACAAAGTATTACAAAGTATAAAAGCACGCTGCAACAAGGGAGAACTGAGGAACCAGGAGAGGATTCTCTATCCCCCAGAGCCAGCATCTCTCCTTGCTCATTGGAGTGCTCTCAGTGCCCAAGAAATAACATTTCTCCTTTGCTTTTTTCAGGTGCTTCTGGTAGATGGGAATGGCCTGCTCCATCCCAGAGGTAGGCTGTTCCTGGAGAGCCCTCCTCTCCTGCTCCCTGTGCTGCTCCTTGGTGTTCCTGTTCCCTGATGTCCTGCAGCTACAGTGGCTCCTTGTTGGCAGGATTTGGCACAGCCTGTCACCTCGGGGTCCTGACAGACCTGCCGTGCATTGGCGTGGCCAAGAACCTCCTGCACGTGGATGGCTTGGTTAGGGATGAGCTGCACAAGGAGCAGGTTAGGCCAGGCTGGGATTTGTTTCTGCTTTTTCACATCCCAAGGGAATTTGGACAGCCACCTACAACTACATGCTAATGAGCTGACTGTGTGTGTGTTTATCCCTAGGTTCGTTCCCTGCAGAGGTCAGGAGAGGCATTCCCACTGACAGGCGCCTCGGGGAAGGTCCTGGGCATGGTAAGCTGCCACTTGGCCACTTGTCCCTCTCCACAGTGGGGCTGTCTCAGTGATGCCCTGCGGGAGGGCAGGTGTGAACAGGTGACCAGTGACACTGCTGACCCCTCCCTGAGAGCTCAGGTGGCTGTAGGGAGTTGGCAGCTCAAGTGCTGGGAGCATTCCCGTTCATGGCTGTGGCTCCTGAGGTGCTCCAGCAGCCTGGATGGTGAGCTGCAGTCTGGGAGAGGTGCCAGTTCCCTGGCAGCTCCCCGGGATCGGGCTGATTCAGAGCACGGCGGGAACAGGCAGCTGGGAGACACTTCCTGTGGGTGCTGTCAGCCTGGGCTGGCACAGCTCCTGCATCCAGAGCAGCCTGGGGCGTCTGGGGAAGGGCCTTGGGGGACAGACAGTCCCTGCAGGAGACACTGGGGTGGGGAAGGTGTTCAGGAAGGCTGGGAGCTGCAGACACAGAGCCACCACCCCACCGAGGGCTCCGGCTGGCTCCTAGTTCCACTGCTCCTCTGCGTGTGTTCAGGTGAGCGTCTCCAGTGCCTGATCTCTCCTTTCTGGCTGCCCAGGTGCTGCGGAGCCACAGCAACAGCTCCAAGCCCCTGTACGTGTCCGTGGGCCACCGGGTGAGCCTGGGCACGGCCGTGCGCCTGGTCAGGGCCTGCTGCCGCTTCCGCGTCCCGGAGCCCATCCGGCAGGTATGGGGGCAGGGGGGGCAGGGTTTGCCAAGCCCTGGGCTGCTCAGAGCCTCATTTTCCCCCTTCTCTGCTGGGGGCACCCTCCTGCTGGGCAGTTCCCCCAGCCCGTGGTGGTGCTCACTGATCCTTCCAGGCCCGTTCCCCTGACGCAGTGCCCGGCAGCGTTCCCAGCCCTGCCTGCAGACCCAGCCTGACTGATGCGCTGCTTGCTCGCTGCAGGCAGCTCCTGCCGTGCTGGTGTTAATCCCCAGGAGCGGGGAATGCAGTTTTCTCGGGTGCTTGGAGCCCAGCACGGCCCTCAGTGCTGCTCCTCTGGACCTTTCCCGCTGCCGCACTCTGCACGGAGCCACCAGCCAGCAGGTGACAGCACTGCATCACTGTCACCGAGCTGCAGCTGCCACTGGGGCTCAGCCTTGGCTGATTTTAAATCGCAGCAGAACTTGGGGAAGGGCTCTGGAGAAGCTCAAAGCCTCTAGGACTTCTGGTCTGGCAAGTGCTTCCATTCTTCCTGAGATCACTCTGCTGTTGGTGGCTCCACAGCCCAGAGCCAGGAGTGACCCCAGGGCCTGCCCGGGTGTCCCTGTTCCTAACACTGCCCTGGGACAGCCTGTTGGCATTGCTGCTGTGCCAGGCTGGTGGGGTCTGGGGTGTGCCTACCTGAGCAGCCCCGGGGCAGTGCTGGGTGACCCTGCTGCTCCAGAGCTGCAGTGTTCCCTGGATCTGAAACTCTGCTTATAAACTACCCCAAAATCTTAACTCCTTGGAGCAAAGCAAGCCCTGGGGTGTCCAGAGCAGAGCTGCAGTTCCCAATCTCAGCCCCAGTACCTGCCAGACTGGAGGAGGCTGCTGGAGCTCCTTATGTAACCTGCTCCAGCCAGGGCCAGATGCCTCTGCAGAGCTCCGAGCCAGCTCTGCAGTCTGTGTGTTCACAGGGAAGGGAGAAGCATTCCCTTTGGAAACAGAAAGGTGTCTTGGAGCTTTTCATCACCCTCATTTCGCTTTCAGCCATCTCCAGGATTTGTTCATGTTCGGAGCCTCTTCCAGTTCCCTGTGACCTTTTTCTTGGAGTGATGGAATGAATTATTATCACTTTTCTTACAGAGAGATGAAAAATCCAACAGGAGCGTATGTTTACTCTAGAGAGATGGCAGGAGATGAGGACACTTAAACCTTTCCATGGGACTTGTCCCCACTGTGCTTCCTCTGTGTGGTGACTGCCACAGCTCTTGGCACAGGCAGAGCTGAAAGCCTCAGCTCCTGAGCACCTGCAGCTGGAGTTAGGAAGTAGGAGGCTGTGGAGAATCCTGCCATGGATGACTGACGTGGCCTTTTTGCCATGGTACGTCTCCAGAAACTGCAGACCTGATAGGAGAAGTGCTTACAGATTTCCCAGTGTCAGGAAAGACCTGTGGATCACCAGGTCCTGATCTAGAAGTTGTGGCAGGCCTGGAAATGAAGTGGTCTGTGAGAGCTCAGCTGTCCACAGCTCCTGAGGATTGTGTGAGGGCAGCATGTGCAGTGCAGCTGCTGTGGGAGCTCAGGCCTCCTGCTTTAGGGGATGTGGTGCTTCCCAGGAATGCACATTATCCAGGCAGGGAGCAGGAGGGGTTCCATTTGCATTCAGCCCACAGTGTGGTTGTGCTGCCAAGGAGCTGGCTGTGGTGCAGATGAGAGAAGTGAGGAAGCAGTGGGATGAGCTGCCCTTGTCACCTGCAATCAGTATTTACATCCCACTCTGTCCTTGTTCCACGTGCCAGGCCAGGCCCAGCCAGGATCTCCCCTTGAGATCCTGCACGGAGCTCCCAGGCAGGAGCTGCCATCCCAGAACAAGCAGCACAGCACTCACCCTCAGTGGCCCTGGAACATTCCCAGGCCCTGCTGAGAGAGCTGCCCTTGCTCCTGGCAGAGGTCAGAGCCCTCCCTGGTGCTTGCCCACACTGCAGCCTGCTCATTCCCAGATTCCTGTGCCCAGCAGGGAGGCACAAGCTGGTGCCACTCTCCAGCTGCCAGGGATTGCACCAGGAGCCTGCTCTGCTCTCTCTGGGTCACGTTCCTGCTTGGCTGCTGCCCAGCCTCCTCCTCACTTGCTGCTTCCTTCAGCTGCTCCTGGGTGCCCAGTGTGCACCTTCAGTGCCTGGGTGCCCCTGGGGCTGGCTCAGGAGGAGCTGCTGGGACAGCCTGAGGGTGCTCCAGCCCACCAGGAAGGGCAGACCTGCAGGGCACCCTCTGTGAAACGCTGAGCACTTGCCCTCAGAAGAATGAGAGCGGGCATCAGCCTCTCCTCTGGGACTGGACAGCAGTCACTGGTGTCCTGAGACTCCAGCTGCCTCTGGGGGCACCCACTCCAAGCCTGCTGTGCCCAGGGAGCACCCTGGCCCCTCAGGTAACAGGCAAAGCAACATTTCCACAGCCAGCACTCATGCCCTCTGAAAATAGCCCAAATCTGTGAGGATTATTGCTGGACAGTGATCCATCTTATTGATTAGCCTGGGTTAATCACCACCTTAAGCTGACTCCAGTGCTGTGTTAGGAGTGAGCCCTGCCTGGGAACTGCCACCTCATCAAGCACTAGCTGATATTCTCAGCAGAATGTGGTTGGGGTTTTTCTTCCCTAGAATTGTTGGTATCTGTTGCCTCCTGCTCCTTGCTCTGCCCGTGGGGACTATTGAGCAGCCTCCTCCCCTGGTTATAAAATCCGTCACGTAATCGCTTATCCTGAAGAGTGATCAAAGTTATTTGTCAGTTCGGTTATGAAACTGTCCAATTATAGAGAGAAGGGAAAAAAATCTCCCAAACAAACCACCCCTTATGTAACTCTCTCCTTCTCAGCTGGCAGGAGGCTCTGCAGTTGTGGAGCAGGTTCCAGCAGCAGGCACAGCCTCCACCAAGGGCTCGGGGTGAGGGGCCTGAGGGCTGGCCGGGCTGCAGGAGAGGCTCCTGGGGAGCAGCATGGGGTGGAGAGCAGCAGTGCTTCAAGGACAGTCCCCAGGGATGTGTTAACCCAATTTCTGAGCTCATCACCAGACACTGTGAAGCTTTTCCAGCTGGGAAGGTCACATCCTGCTTTGTAGGTGGGGAGAGACACTCTGTCTTTGAGGTGGGCACAGCAGCTGCTCAGAAATGGCGCAGAAGTTTCTAAAAGAGAAAAAACTTTGAAGGACTGTAAAAATCTACTGCCAGTCCTCAAAGTTGTCCAAGAGCCCGGGGTGTGCTTGTGATGGCATCAAGGGTCTGCTGCTGGTGTCGTGCAGCACTAGAGGGCTAAGCAAACACGTCAGGCTGAGGGCAGGAACACCCAGTAAGTGCCCAGCAACACTTCCTAACAGTTCCTGGGACGTGGCTGGCGCTCTCCTTGCCCCAGGCTGTCGTGCCTTGCTGAGCCATCCGGTGTTCCTGGTGGGATGTGCTGGCAGCAGGATGGGTGGGCACACTGGGGTAACAGGGGAGGCACCAGCCAGGCTGCTCAGCCCATGCTCACTCCTCTCCCTGCTTGCTTCCAGGCTGACATCAGGTCCAGGGAGTACCTTCGGAAGCAGCCCTGTGCTCCAGTGGAGCCTGCCGGCCCAGAGAGGTGGGTGTGTGGGCAAAGGGCATCTGCTGGTGGCATGAGCTGCAGTAATGGCATTAAAGGTACAAGCAGGGTAACAAGGCGAGCTCGGTGGGGAGCTCAGGACATGTGCAGCCTCCAGAAGGTGATTTCTGCTCCCTGTGGCCACGCTGCCTCACACGTTGCTGCCGGCAGCGCCGTGTCCTGAGCTGGGGAAGGGCAGTGGGGATTTGCTCTTTTTTCAGCACTGCTCATAAGCAAAGCCCTAACGCCCACAGGTGTGACCTGAGGAGGAACAGAAATACCTGCAGGGAGCTGGTTTTGGCCGCCAGGTGTTGGGGAGGGTTAGAGTCCCCCTCTCTTACATAAGGTGGGCCAGTGGGTGTCAGTTCAGGGCTAAATCTGCCCTTGGGGTGCAGCTCAAGCTCACCAAGTGCCAGTTGTTTGTGCCTGTTGGCTTCTACTTTTTGTAAAACTTGTTCCTTGTTCATTTTTATCCCTGCAGCAAAAAGGAGGATGAATTGGAGGATTAGTCTGTGCCAGAAGAAAGTGCAGAGCTTCTCTTCGCTGGGTTCTCTCCTGCACCAAGGCTGAGTCCTGGTGGATGCAGGAGCCCAGTGCCACCCTGGGGGACAGCTGTGCCAGGCTGTGTCCCACAGGACAGCACCAGCCACTGCTGAGGGAGAATCCATGCAGTGAATTTCTCAGGGTTCATTTTCAAGTACTGTAAAATCTTTGTGTAAGCAAAGGCTCACGTGTAAGTTTGCAACACCTCACTGGAGTCCTTGTGCAGCTGCAGGGGCTGATTTACAGAGATGCTGAGGCATTGCCACTGCAGAGCCAGCCTGTGTCTCCCACCACACCTCTGTGGCACAGAGCCCTCCCTTCCCACTGCTTTTGGAGCAGCTTCCCCTTGTCCCTGCAGCCTGGGCTGTGCTGTGCCCCATGCACGTCCCTGGGGAGCAGCAGCCCCACTGCCCAGCTCTTCTGGAGGAAGGAACATCTCAGGGGAAAGGATGGCAGGAACCATCTCCCTCCCAGGAGCATGGGGAGGTCATTCCTGACACACAGAGTGCTCCAGGATCCCAGGCTGGAGATCTGGCCCAGCCCCAGCTCGACCTGAGGAGCAGAGCCCAGAGCCTCTGTGCCCAAATCATCCTCAGCCCTCATCCAGCCTCTAAGACCAAAGCTTCTCCAAGGTGTGGGATCCTGGCTGAGGTTGGCAGGTGATTCCTGACTGTTCTGAAGAGCAGCAGGAGCAGAAGGTCCTCTGGGAGATCCTGGTGTGGCTGTGTAAGATTCCAGCCTGAAGAGGAAGAAGGATGTTTTCCTGGAGGTGGGGAGGGGTGCTCAGGTCAGACTGCTGTGGGCTTTTTAACTTAAATTTTGCATACATTTGTTGTACAACTTTTGTTCTTTTCTGTCTTGGAGCTGCTCTGGGTGGGGAGGACAAAGCCCAGCCTGTTGTGCCGCTGCTGTGTTGGGGTCTGAACCAGGGGGGGAAGGGAGGAAGTGACAAACCCTGCTCCCTTGGGGCCATCTGGGCAGGTCTGGGGCTGGTCCTGGAAGTGCTGGGGACAGGCACTGGCAGAGCACTTCCCTGAAAAGCCTTTGCTGACAGGTTTGAGAAGGCAAAGCTGCAGCAGCTGCAGCTCCCAGCCCTACACAGGAGCCACCTCTCCCAGGAACCCTCAGAGCTGCTTCACACCAGGGTTTGCCCATGGGTGGACAGAGCCTGCAAGGAAAAACCACAGTGGAAGCTGCTCCTTTGATCCTGAGGGCTGCTGCCAGGCCAGGGCAAAGGGAGCACTGGGCTCATGGCTGGCTGTGGCAGGGGACAGGGGACACAGGGACAGCTGTGTCCCCTCCCTGCACAGACACAGAACCTCCTCTGCCACGGCCTGTCCCGTCCTGAGGGAGCAGGGTGGGCACAGAGCCACAGCCAGCAGGGACCACTTCATTCCTCATTCCAGCCCCAAACAAACCAGTGACTTCTCTGGCCATGGGGACAGTCTTCTGAAACCTGTCACAAATTCAGGCACGAGTGACAGGGTGGGCAGGGGACAGCTCCTTGCTAGAGCTCATGGGCAGAACGCCAGGGAAATCCATCTTTGTTTCTGATTTGGCCTGTGCTGGGAGCTCACAGGGTCATCCCTGGCTCCTTCCAAATTCTGAGTAACAGCACACTCACTGCAGATTCACCCCGCTGTGCTCAGCTGTGGGGAGCAGCTCCTCCAGGATGGCCCTGCAGAACAGGGGAACCTTCAGTGTGTGGGACTGGCTTCTGCCCTGGTGAGTGTCTGCCTTTCATCTCATGTTGAATGTCTGGTTTTAATCCCTCATCTATCGGTCACTTTTTGTGTGCTTCTGGTTGGTATTTGACAATGGGAGATTTGGGGTGGGCTGGTCAGGGGAGGCTCTGCAGCCACAGCTGTGATTTGGGTGGAAGCTCAAGGAACTGAGCCCAGCTCAGACAGGAACATGAGGCTGTGGTTGTTCAGGGTCTGTTCCTGGCTGCTCCTGCTGGGATCTGGATGTTTTGATCCGTGGAGGGTCCGTGTGCTCAGCCTGTGAGGGATCCAGGGCTGGGGACACTGCAGGGGACACTGCTGTCCTCAGCTGCCCTGAGCCCCCCCCAGCTGCCTCTGCCCTGGGAGTGAGGGAAAATCAGGTGAAAAAAAAACCATAAAAACCAGCTCTGCATCACTGTCCTGGCTTCCCTCTGCGTGAGGCTCTGAACTCCTCTCCTTCCAAGCCCAGGTCAACTCAGCTGACTCTGGATGGAGTCACCTGGGAGGCTTTGGGAGGGGATGGTGCTGCAGTGTCCTGGCAGCCCTGCAGGGCCAGGGGCTCTGGCTGTGCCTTTGGGCTTTACCTGGGCCGTGAGATGCTCTCTCAGCTGCCCAAACGCGGCAGTTTAGTCCTTCCTAAAGGAAGGGACTAATCTCTGTGTTTGGTGTCTGCTTGTGGCTCTTTGGACACAATAAGGGATTAACTTGGTCTTTATCTAATTGGTTTATAACCCTGGGAAGGGAAAATCGCTTTGTAATGCTTGAAACCTCTTAAGAGAAACTCAGAGAGTGGAGCTTGAGTGTCCTTCGAAATAAACTCATACATGACTTGTCTTTTTTAACTCTCTGCTTGCTGGAAATTGGCTTTTCTGGGTGTTGGGAATCCGAGAATAGCTATTGCTGACTGGTTGTAAATCCTCCTGTTATCACCAGGGGGTTTTTCTCTCCACCATTTCCACCTGGGACTGGCTGGGAGTCTCTGGAGGTGCCTCAGGGCTTGGTCACCCCCCGTGCTGCTGGGGAATGAGCTGTGGGGCTGGGGCAGGAATGTGGCTGCCCAGTGATGCCTCCTGGGTGACAAACTGGGGCAGAATTGCTTTGGGGTTAGTTTCCTGACTCCCAGGTGCTGAATAGCTCTGCTGCAGCTTCTCTGGATCTGCTCCCCCTGTTGTGTTTGGATGCTTGGAGAGCAGGAAGGAGAATCCCTGCACCTGCCTTGTTTGTCTCGGAAAGGGGAGAGGGGAGAGGAGCTGCTTTAGGATGCAGTTCTGTTCGTTCTGTGGGCTCTCGGCAGGTCTGGGTGAGCAGCTCCGTGCCAGGGGCTGAGGCTGGGTGGGATGGGCTCCCACCTCCGTGTCTGGAGCTTGTGGCAGTGTAGGTGCTGCCTGTGCAGTTTGAGCTCCTGTGACTCAGGGTTTGTATTTTGGGACACTCCTGCCGAGGGTGGGGGAAGGGTTTCACTGGGATTTCCCCCCTCCCTGCCCCCCGTTCTCATTCCTCTTCCTTTTGCCTTGGTTGGGCGGGTTTAGGAGGGGCTGTTTCCCTCCTGGCTCCCCAATCCAGGCCCAGCTGCAGGTCTGGGTGCTCACACTGGGTGTGGAGCTGGGCCCAGCAGCTGAGCCTCTCCCTCCCCCCATTCCCAGAGCCTTTGGTGTTTGTGGGGCAGCTGTGTCCCCTGGATCTCCGAGCATTCCCCAGCTTTGGGCTCTAAATGGGCCTTTTTAGTGCTGCTCCCCCTCCCGTGGCAGCTGAGGCCTCTTGGATGTGGTGGCTCCTGGACAGAGCCCGGGTGTGCAGAGGGAGCTGGGGAACGTCATGGCTCCCTTGCAGGGCTTTTGATTCCTTTTTTTTTTTTTTTGTCCTTTTGTCCTTTTTTTTTTTTTTACTTTTCCCTTCCTTTTGTCCTATAAATAGTTCTCCCCCCTAACTGCTCTTCCCGTTGTTGGTGTTGGTTGATCCTCCCTGATCCTCTCACCAGAGCCCTGCCAGCCCCCCCGGCTTTATTTTAAGGCCCCATTAATTAAAAGAAAATGAGTGGAATTTCTCTTGACAAGCGAATTAATAGCAAATGAGATGATTATGAGCTGTGTCATTAGGGTGATGGAGCAGCTTGTGCAGGGCTCAGCCCAAAGCAAGGCAGCAAAGCCGTGGGGCAACAGGTCTCTCCTGTTGGGGGGCTGGAAGGTGCTCCCTTCCCCTCTTGGGCTGCTGGGTGGAATTTTGGTAGCCAAGGAGTCATTGATACTGAGCAGAGCCGGCCCTGAGACCCCGGGGCTGAAGGAGGAGGAGGGGGCAGAGCAGAGGTGCAGGGGGTGGCTGCTCTCGGATGCTCTGGGTGTCCCCATGAGCTGGATCTGTCCATGGGGACACGCTGGGAGTGCCTTGTCCCCACCCCGGCAGCCCCATCAGCTTTAAAAACGAACCAAGGCTATGAAAGCAACCTGTGATTAATTCCTGGGCTGGTTCCCACCTCGGGGGCTCGGTGCAGGATGTTTCCTTAGGAACACGCTTTTTCCTGCTTTTCTTGGAGCGCCTGCTTGGCACACCGTGCCTGTGCCTGCAGAGCCCAGCTGGTCAGCGCTCGCCCGGAGCCCCAGCGCCGGCCGGGGCTGGGTTCGTGGGGCTGGGCTGTGGAACCAGGGCTGGGTTCGTGGGGCTGGGCTGTGGAACCAGGGCTGGGTTCGTGGGGCTGGGCTGTGGAACCAGGGTTGGGTTCGTGGAGCTGGGTTCGTGGGGCTGGGCTGTGGAACCAGGGCTGGGTTCGTGGGGCTGGGTTCGTGGGGCTGGGCTGTGGAACCAGGGCTCGGCTCGTGGGGCTGCGCTCCCGCGTGGGAAGCTCCGCCGGCGGCTCCCGGCTCGTGTTGTGACTGGAGCCGCGTGTCTGGCGAGGGAACAGCTCCTGCCTGCGCTGAGGAGGAGGAGGAGGAGGCGATCAGCCGGGCCGGCGGTGGAGGGACAGCCTGCGGGAAGGGAGGAGAGGTGGTGCCAGAGCCGCTCTGCCCCTGTGCATCACTTCAGGGACAAATATCCGCTGTTTTCCCGAGGAGCAGCGCTGCCTGCTTTAAAATCCCCAGCGATTTTTGGGAGAGTGTTTGGAGTCTGTGATAAATCTGGTGGCTTTGTAACTTGCCGGAGGGATGGTGGGCAGCACCGTGATTAAAGCGCTCTGATTAACACACAAACCTTGTTTGTAATGAGTGGGATTGGGAGGGTGTGGAAATCCAGCTGGCGTGTAATGAGGTTACTCCAACAAATTGCTCGGATATCAATTACCCCGCTAGGTAAATGTCACCTGCCTTCTCTTTGTTTGCGGTAAACTGGGATCCAATTAGTTTGATGTGGTTCTTGCTCGTGCCTGAGCTGCCGAGGCAGGGCAGGACAGCAGCCGGGCTCTTCCCCACCCGTGGGGCGCCATCGGTGCCGGGGACATCCCAGTCCCTTGGGGACAACATCCCGGCACCTCCTGTCGCCACCTCTGAGCCGAGTCCCCCTCCACAGGCTAAGGACGAAGCCCCCCGGTCAGGCAGGTCTCAGGTGTGGTCCCCGCGGCCGCCCAGAGCCTCCCCACGCCTCCGACTGCAGGTGGATAAATTCCACTTTGCTGCCATAGGTTCCTTTCCCCATCCTGCTGCCCGGGCTCTGCCAACCCGCGCCGGGAGGGAGCGGGGGGAGGCAGCAGGAGCTGCTCCCGGAGCGCGGTTGGAAAGGGCGGCGGGAGCGTGCCCCAGCCCTGGGGAAGGGCCCTGGGTGCCGGGAGTGCAGATGAACGGGGCTGGGGGGTCCCGGGCAGGCCGGGATCGCCGTGACCCCCCCGGCCCGGGGCTCCTCTGCCAGCCTTGCCCACAGCTCATGAATATTAATGGCTCAATGCACGGGGACCTCGGGAGGGAGCAGAAGGGAGCCGAAAGCTTCGCCAGCTGTGGAGCACAGCCCATCCCAAATCCAACGTCGGTGCCCGAAACAGCCCGGTCCCCGGGCACGGGAGGCTTTGGGGGAGGGCTGGAGAGGTGTGAGCAGGGGGTGGGCACCGTCACTGGGGGCACCTGGGGTCCTGCTCTGCTTTCCAGAGGGAACAAATCTGCGCCGCCGTGTCCCTGTGGGGCTGTCCCGCCCCACCGGGTGTTGGGGGGCAGATTCCAGGTGTGGGGTGCTCGGGATGCTGTCATTCCCGGCTTCCACAAGCGCTGACCCTGCAGCACACGGGAGCCCTGCTCACCCCTCCCGGGCAGGAGGGGATTTGTGGGCTGCTCCAGACCTCTCCATCCCTCTTGCCCTGGCTGCCACGGGCCCGGGGGTGGCCGCTGGAGCGGGGCTGCCCTGTGCCACCTCGCCCCGCAGCCTCGGCAGGATGAGCAAGGCTCCAGCGTGCCGCAGGCGATCGCTGACCTGATTTCCAGCAGCGCTGTGGGGTTTGGCATCTGTTGCTGACACGGAGGCAAGTGGGGGGCTTGGGGACCCCCCTAATGTGCTGCTCCGGTATCCCCAGTCCTGGGGAGCGCCGGGGGCACTGGGGGTGCCGGGCAGCACAGGGTGGGCTCTGACCCCGCTGCACCACCCACTCCTCCCCGTGTGCCCCCTCCCGTGCCCACTCTGCTCCACAAATGCTAATTAATCACCATAATTAGTTTGATGCTGCATCTATTTTTAATCAGCTTTGGAAGACAGAGTCTGCCTCTGCTCCGTGCACACCCACGGGCTGTCCCAGGGCGGAGCGGGGCTTACTGGGGACCCTCCGGTGGGAGATGGGGTGTTATTCCCCTCTGTGCCCCCGGGAGGAGGTCAGGACCCCTCATGGGACCCCCCAGACAGAGGAGGATTCCCTCAGAGCTCCGGGGTGGAGCCCGATCCCAGCCCCTCCATAATCCGCCGGGATGAATAGGAAGGATGGAGGCAGCAGCTGCCAAGGTGACGTTTGACAGCAGCTGGGAAAGTCGCAGGAGGAGGAGCCCTGGAAAAGCTGTGAAAAGATTCTGAGAAGGCAAAACCGGGGGCCAGGCCCGTGTTCCTGCAGCTGCCAGCCCCCCGTGGGGGAGGGATGGGGTCTCCTGCGCTGGGAGCTGCCCGGAGTCAGCCTGGCTGGGGGAGCGGCACCTTGGAGAAGCGGCGGGCTGCGAAAAGCAGTGTTTGCTCTTGAATTGCTGGCTCCGTGCGGCCCCGGCCGGCTCTGGTTGGGTTCCCCGGAGGGAGGGAGAGCTCGAGGAAGCCCCTGCCCGGCTGTGCTGGCCAGGATGCCCGGGCAGTGCCTCGGGGTGTAGGAACCGATGCTGTGCCAGCAAAGGCTCCCGAGTGGCATTTGAGGGCCGCTGTCGCAGCCAGTGACTCACGCCTGTGACCGGAACGGTCTGTCGGCCTTGACTCCATGCCCTGGGAGGTGTCCAGCTGCCCGCGGTGACCCGGCCGGTCCTTGTGCTCGGCCCTGGCCGGGCTCGGCCCTGCTCCCCCCGCCCTCTCACGCGGGGATCCATCCCATCCTCATCCTCCCCGAGCCGGGATGTCCCCAGCCCTGCCGGCAGTGTTTGGCCGCCCATCTCCCTGCTCTCCTCCTCCTCCCGTGCCAGCCTGAGGGTGGCTTCTGGGAGCCACCCGGTGTCCCTGGGGAGCCTCGGGTGGTCTCTGGCAGCGGGACCCTCCCCGTGCTGCCCAGAGCCGGCTGAGCCCCTCGGCCCCGGCTCGGGGAGTTCTCACTGGAGCTGCTGCCGTGCCCCAGGGCCGGCACCCCTCGGGAGCTGCTGCTCCCGGTGCTGGGGAGGAGGGGGTGTCCAACCCGCCACCAGCTCCGCTGGAGAGCCAAGGCAGAGCGATTTCTGCAGCCACGTGCCCGACGTTGCTGTGGTTTCCCCGG